TAGTGCAGACAGTGTAAAGTATTTTTACAGCAACCCAGACCACTTGTCAGCATCCCTGGAGCAGGAAGGAAACACAATCTGTGTCTGTGTGCAGGACTGGCCTACACATCATACTATCCCTGGGTGATCCGACTAACACAATAGATATTGATACAACACTGACACAAGTGGAGCATGCCAAACATACAAGCTGGATACAACAAGAGTTTTGTCAATACATTAATAACTACAGTGATGTATTGGAGATTAGGCAAGGGGAGCTAGGTAAAGAATTAAATAATTATGGTTATGTTTAGCTATTTAAAATTATATTTAAGTTTCTCAAATGACAACTATTTCAAAGGATATTATTATCATTTTCTTTTTTGTTTTTTGTTATTAAAATTAACATTTACAAATTATTTGTAAGCTTGCAAAAAAAAACAATATGACTGTTCATGGTATATTATTGATATGTAGGTCTATTCCTAATTTTTTTTCTAAATAAAGGCCTACAAGACATAGTTAATAAACGTTAAATAAAAACTATAGGCCTATAGTTAGTATCCAATGATCTGTTAGGGTCTAGTATTGTTTTTTTTCTTCTGTTACAGGTATCAAGCAAATCTTGTCATTCAACAAACATGTCTTGTTCAAAACAACTTAAAAGAAAACCTTGTATAAAAACAAAGTATGATAAAGTATAATTTTAATTAAAAATAATAATTAGGGCCTAGGCCCAATAGGCCTAAGCTAAGCTGTAGGCCTAATGCATTTTTTATTTTTATGGCTGCTATACAAAAAAAGTTGTCAGAATTCGATTTTGATAAATTATAGGCCCTATATACACTATATAGGTTTAGCAGTTTAGAGCCCTTTGCCATAAGTAGAATCTATATATTGGGGGGGGGGGGGTCCCTAAATGGAGGAATTTATATTTATTCTCTTGCCGGTCTGAGTGTGGGCATATTATAAATTTAATATAAGGGATCTAACCCATTTAAACTAATTACAACTTTGTTTAATAAGTAGTTGCCCTTTAATTTTATTAGTAAATTTTAAGCAGAAATGTTAAGCAAATTCCTAGAACTAGACTAGAGCCATACTAATTTTCAAAATAAATTTAGTTTCTTAAAATTCAAAATAGATCTAGATCTATATCTATATTTAGCGGTCTGTTTATTCAAATAGCATTCTAGAATTTAAAACCTGCCATGAAGTTTGCCAAGGTCCTCAGCAGACAGCAAAGCAGACTTCACATTTTTTCTGCGGTTGAGTGCAGTATGGGGCAATTTAGATCAAGATATCGATCTAGATCTACATTTAACATACAAAGCTACTGCGCCGTGAATTTAAAGGAAATAATTAAGTTGTGAATGATGAAGTAAAGAGACTTACCTTCCAGTCATAAATTATTATTCAACTTTGTAGACTTAGTATACAATTCAATGGCGGAAGTTAGTGTTACTCACTTCCGGTTGACAAATTTGGCAATCCCAAGTCGAAGGAATTTTCAAAGGTCAAAGGCCATGTATTTAAGACTATTTTGCGGAGTAGCATTAACGCTTTGAAACATTTAAATTAGACCTTATGGAACTAGATCTAAATCTTTATTTTAATAAACCTTTTGGCAATACGTTTTTATCGCACAGAAAATAAGACAGCAAAACATTTAACATACCATTTAGATCTAGTAATATATAAATAGATATAGATTATGTTGATCTCATCTTAGAGATCTCTTGCGCAGAGTTTCTTCCAGGAATCTCGTAGGCAGAGTTTCTTCCAGGCATCTCTTCGGTGGGGCGAAGCCCCCCCCCCCCCCCCGAAATTTTTTTACCGCCCCCCCCCCCCCCCGAACTAAATGAAATTTATATAATTTATATAGAAAATATATACTTTTAACAGTGTCCGCCCCCCCCCCCCGAAGAAAGTTTACCGCCCCCCCCCCCCCCCGGAGTAAAAAGTCTGGAAGAAACACTGCTCTTAGGGCAGAGTCCCGCTCCTCCCCCGAACGAAATGGAATTTATATAGAAAATATATACTTTTAACAGTGTCCGTCCCCCCGGAAATTTTAGTCTGCCCCTAAAATTTTCAACTTATTATTTTAAAAAAAAGTTTATATCCTACTTTACTCAGATAGGCCTGTAACCTGTTTCAGGCTAAATATTCTACAAAGATCAGCCAATAGTTTGAAATTAAAAACAAATTAGCAAGCAACAAATTTGTTGAAATTTGATGTGTTTTTAAAAAAGATGACAAACTTAAAACAATTGCTTAAAAATATAAACAGCATCTCTAAACGCCAATTCTCTGCCCCTTAGTAGAGTCATCATGTAATCGAAAGTCTCAATTTCAGATTCCGGATAGAATGTCATTGAGTTCACGTCGGTCTCTTACATCTTTGTATTTAATTTATTTCCTGAAAAGCTAAGATTGACATCAGTGGGTTTTTGTGAATAAGGAAACGAAAGTTCGACCAACTGTTTAGAATGTAAACAAATGGCAAGATAAAGATCGAATAGGGTCAAGCTAGTTAGCCTAACGTATTATTTGACAATTTTAGAAGTAAACCGGTTTATTTTTTTATTTAAACATAATATGTGCGGGCTTCGGGCTCGCTCTCTATCTCCTACTTTTGCGATTCAATCACACTGTAGTTTCCACTATGTAGTTTCCCCCATCCCCCTTTCACCATTTAATTAAATTATAGATAAGCGCAATAATTTCGATGGGACATTTGTCAACAATTCCAGACTTTTTTCTCTTTCACTTGATATTTTCGGTAGGGGGGGGGCACTGATAAAAGTATATATCTCCAGAAGTGATGCCTGGAAGAAACTGTCAGTCTTTCACTCTACAGTTGTTGCAACCTTCTGTTTTTAAATAGTTTAGTTACTGTTAAATAAAAATACCTCACCACAGCTAAAGTAATTTTTAGTAACAATCCCATGTAAACGTACTAAAGGACAGTGAATACCATTTTTGTTTACGGTCAGATTATGCCAGCCCTTCTGCTCCACCCCCCCCCCCCTCTCTTTCCCAGAGTTTCTTCCAGGCATCTCTTCGGGGGGGGGGGGGGGGCAAAAGCCGAACGAAATGAAATTTATATAGAAAATATATACTTTTAACAGTGCCCCCCACCCCCCATGGAAGAAAGTCTACCCCCTCCCGAAAATTTCAAGTGCCCCCCCCCCCCCCTCCCCGGAGGAAAAAGTCTGGAACAAACACTGCTCTTTCCGTACAGCCCGTTCTAATGAACTTGTAGGCCCTATAAAATAGGGGATCTGTGAAAATGTGATATGAAGTTGAATGGAACAATGTTGTATTATTAAAAATTTCAGTCTAATATAATATGCGCATAATTCAAACTATTGGCAGTAGGACAACAGTATTTATTTCCTTGTCACTCGCGAGTTGCCCAGACCTATCACCATTTATTAGTTTAGTAAAGCCAGTTATTACTAAAAATAGACTTATCAAGTTGTGTGCAGAAATATTGACTGTCGGTATCATCATTCACGTGGACTCCTTGTAGAGCATAGGCCGGACGCAACAACAGCTCTGTATCGTACTCGGTTCTGGACGATTCCACAAAGTTTGGCCCAAGTCATTCTGACTGCTTCTGCTTCACTGACAGTTGACCATTTTTCCATGTTTGTTTTGGCCTACCTACTTTCATCTTTCCTAGGGGGTTTGCAGTATAATTCGACATAAAAATGCATCAACGTAGATCATTGGTTATTAACGAGGGGTTCAGTACGTCCGCGCTGAGGCACGGCGGAGGTCAAATCACAATCCGACTCATGTGATATGCGATTCGATGTTGTCGGTGCGGACGATAGAACCAGCGGCCACATCGACGACAGTTCAAATACGACAGCACGACGTAGTAATATAGAGCGAGATAACACGTATCGGTGTCGTGATATTTCTATTTGGTGGAACCCTTGACGTCATGACCCACATACACCACGAATCGTGTCAACGCCACCTATAGAGTCCTTGCATATAAGTTATAACGTCATGGATCGTTCAGTATGTAAACATCCGCCATCGCGGTGTACAGGTGCGCATTCAAAATGGCGATCTGTGCGCGGGTTTATCGTTTATATACGTGCTGTGACGTACATTTCTATATCGTGGCCCAGTAGTCGGCTAGTGACTCGGGTGATTGTATGTCGTGAGATTTTCTTCTGGATATTCCCTTGATATTATGTTGAGCAAAAAAAGAAAGTGGTCGGGCAAATATGTATAATTAGGATTCAAAAGTATAACGGAACTTGATGGAAGTCAGTGTCCTAACTGCACGATTTAGAATCAGTGTTTCTTCCAGACTTTTTTCTTCGGGGGGAGGGGGGGCGGACACTGTTAAAAGTATATATTTTCTTTATGAATTCCATTTTGTTCCGGGGTGGGGGTGGGGGGGGGGGGTGGACTTCGCCCCCCCCCCCCCCCCCCCCCCCGGAAGAAACTCTGTTTCTAATGCCAAGTTGAGCAATTCCAGCCTAGCGCCAGCAAGATGCATTGAGAAAATATAAAAGAACACAATGCTCTCTGAGTTCAAGGTATGCACATTTCTGCAACAGAAGCCTGACTGATTTGCAGTAAATATTAAAATCATATTTTAGTGTAAAAGTCGTATTGTAATAGTTTTGCTCTTTGAACACAGTGATGTTGATGCTGTGTTCATTTTTGTGCACCAATAAAATATACACCTATGTTTTGAATCTGAAAAGAATAATAGTTAATTTTCTTCTTAAGAAGGGTTCGAAGAATATTCATATGAAGCTGGTAGGATTGGGTACCATCAAAAGGTTAAGAACCACTGAATGTAGATCACAGGTATAGGCCTACAAAATTCTAAATCTGCTAATTTTTGTAAAGGGAGATAATATACCTGTAAAATTCCATTCTATTGTTTACATTTTGTATACAAAACTGCTTGAATCCAAAATATTTAAAATAACATGAAAACCACCAGTGCATAAAACTTTTATTAATTCAACAAAGATAATATATTACCAATTTTAAAAAAATAATATTTTAGTTGGATTACTCAGATTACTGATACCTATCATAAAACTTTTTGAGCATTAATGTAAATATGAAATAAAAAATTCATTATAGGTATTATGAATAAAGAAATCAGTAGAACCTTAACAGATAAAAATTTTCAAATTAAGTGACATTTTTAACATAAAAATTGCATAGATTGTTAAAAATCACAAAACAGATTTTACAATTGTATAACTCAGCAAAATAAAAAATTTCTGGCAGACCTTAAGTTCTGTATTGTATAATACTTTGACAAAAATACTTGGAATGTTACATTTGATAAAAAAGAAGAGGTTTAGTGAAAGTGCATGTTAAAGGATATGCTTGTTAATGAAGAGTTTAGTATAAAGTATATAGTGAGTACGTATATAGATAACAGATCTATAATATCATTACAAAGCTGTATAATGTGTACATGAGTATGTCAGATTCAGATCTGTGTTGTTTAATTACTCTTTTTTGTCAAGAAGATTGGTATGGCACTATTTTATTGTGTTCATTGCTTATTTGTATAATAAAAACATATAATTGCACTACTGGTATGTAAAATAAAATATAAAAAAAATTAAAAATATGGATCAGACCCTCAATTATGTAAAAAAAAAACATTTACAGTAAAACTTAATAGCTAGTCCTTATCTGGAAGTAGGCCTTGAAACACTTAGAGAATAAATACAGGACAGTTGGAGAAACTAGCACAAGAAAAATGGGGTACCAATGGGGACAGTTGGAAAAACTATCACAAGAAAGATGGGTTACCCATGGGGACAGTTGGAGAAACTAGCCCAAGAAAGATGGGTTACCACTGGGACAGTTGGAGAAACTAGCACAAGAAAGATGGGTTAACACTGGGGACAGTTGGAGAAACTAGCACAAGAAAGATGGGTTGCCACTGGGGACAAGGAATAATTAATAAAGCTAGTACAAGAAAGATGGGTTACCACAAGGAATAATTAATAAAGCTAGTACAAGAAAGATGATTTACCACTGGGGACAGTTAGAAAAGCTAACCAAACCACTCCTGTCAGTAGTTGAAATCCTAACAACTACCAGTTACTGACATTCGTAATTCTAAACACCCACAGCCAGTCACAAGGCATTTCGTTGAAAGGAATAGCTGGTATGCGGATGGTTAGTCCTTGACCCTGAGTGTAAACCCACTGGAACTGCTGAGTGTATGACCCCAGTAAGGTAATCTCCGTGGCAGCGGATGGCACTACAGCTCCCAGTAGCAGCTGGATCTCCGGCCAGTCAAAGACAAAGGCATAGACAGCTTTCAGGTCAGGTCTCAGGGTGTACCTAAACAAAAAAGTAAAGTTTCCCTTTCAAACCTGATGGTCTATGGGGCAAGTGAAGTAGAGTTCACTTGTTTCTGTGACCTCGGCATATGAAGAGATAGTGTGGTCAGCACTATGCCCAGCCGCCTTTACTCTCCCTAACTTGAGTTAGGTACCCATCAGAGTTGGGTGGACTCAGGGACGGTCTACTGACTTGAACCCGGATTCAAACTCGAGACTTACAGGTTAGCAGTCCAGCTCTCTACCGCTAGACCACTCCGTCCCCGTACCTATACAAATACAAAAATAAAATTCTCTAATGATTCACTTTATTTAAACTTCACTGGACGGTGTAGTCTGGTGGTACAGTGCACAAGTGCTAACGGCACAACTGCTAGCCCAAATATACCTTTTTCTACCCTTGGCGTTGAAATATCACTTTCTGTTTACATTTCTAGCCCAAATGTCTAGAGTTCCAATCATGGGGTCAGGGTCCAAGGGGATGTCCCTGAGTGCACCCAGCTCTGATGAGTACCTGACTAATTTTAGGGAAAGTAAAGGCATAGATCTGACCATACTATCCCTTTACATACAGAGGTCACAGAAACAGATGAACTCTAGTTTATCAGCCCTAAGGATCCCTAAGTTAACAAGGGTAGCTAACTTGTTTAACTTAAATGTTAATTAATCATTTAAAACACAAAAAAATCACTGGTGTTTAATAATGATACTTTAAATTATATTACTTGATTTTGTGAATATAATTAGAATAAAATTTCTTCATAATTTAAACACAAATACATTTTTTTGTTTTCCTAACATTCTATGGACTATATTTTTAGTGGTTAAATCAAAATGTGACAATAATAATAAAACTAATGTGTGGTGAAGGCAATGATAAAATGTATTTAACACATGTAAGGATAACACAATGTATTTAACACATGTAAGGAAATAACTTCCTTGTGGTGGCTATCTAAGGGAGAGAATGGTTGTAATATTTTTTAAATTATTATTTCACAATAGAACATTACTGATAAAATTTGTAACAATATACTAGGTTGGCAATTAATTTAAAAGCTTAAGGTTATTTAAATACTTTTAAGTGATGATAAACAAAATGTTTTCTTTTTAAAATTTCACTGAATGCTAAATATATAGTTCTTTTAAAAGTGTCTAGCATAAGAAATCTACATTTTAGTTTACATAGTTTCTCACCAAATGTTTTTGGTCACGGTGTCATTTTGATGGCCCCAAGGACGAGAATAATAAACAGCTTCCCCATTGACAGCAAGCCAAGTGCCCAACTGACGCAACCTCTCCTCAAATATAACAGGAATTGTACCATCTTTTGTGGGACCTATGTTGATCAAAATATTGCCGTTGCAACTAAAAAAATAAATAAATCAAGACACCATTTAAAATAAATATTTGAAATAATTAAAACAAGTAATAATATAGGCCTAATAGTTCTATATTAATATTAGTGTGCAGAGTTTCTTCCAGGCGGAGCCCCCCAAAGAAAGTCTACCCCCCCCCCCCCCGGAGAAAGTTAGAAGTTAGTGTGAGGGAGATGAAAATGAAACTAACCTGGTATACTTGTGTGAAATCACCACACATAAGTCCGATTCAAGATATAATGTTCTTTAATTACACAAATCAACTTCCTACTTCTATCTAACTAGTCTATACTATCTACTGTCTACTAATACTACTAACTACACACTTCTATCATTTATCTAACTGCACCCTCCCATGACCATCCCTAACACACTATCTACCTCTAACTTTTACATATTTACCCTAGCGCTACCTACCACCGTCTGCCCTCTCCCCACGCTCCAGTGGTCAGCTGACCGTCCCACGTAACCGGTCAGCTCCTGTATTTCCATTGGTCTGTTTAACTGAGTAAGCTATAGTCTGTTTCTAACATCTACTTGACTTCCAACCTAAACTAGCATCATCACAATGAGTAATATTTTAAATACTTTTCAACACTGACAACCAACCTGATTGTTTTGACAACAGTTTGTAGAAGCTTTTCAATAGAGATGACTTCCGACAGTTTCATGTCTCTTCTGTACCCCCAAGATTGGAAGTCCAGTTTTAAGCAGTTTTCAAACTTGCGTTTACTTAGGGTACCTTTAAAGGTTCATACAGTATTACACATATTGTCACAAAAAACTTTCCAGCTATAAAGTACTATGTCAGGATTAGTGATTCATAAGTTAAAACTTTAATAGTAGCAACTAAAGGTATGTATTTTAAACTAAATCGATATGGTAGCAAGTAAAACTACTTTAACCCTTTCCCAGGCAACTGGGTGGATTACACCTGTACACTTTTTATAATCAACCGGAAATTGTAACAATGAAAGGCTATTTTTTGTTTAATAATTGAAAATGGTAGGTTTTAAGATTAATTAGTGATGAGTTGTTTCTCCCCCCCCCTCTCCCCAATATTGTTCCAAATTCAAGGGAGAGAAGTTGTGTCTATCACCCTTCTGCAGCTTGTGAACATGAGCTTTGTTACACTGAACCAGATTAAAACAGCAAATGGCTATATGAATACCTGGATTAGACATGGTAAAAACTTACCAGTCATGTGTAACTTTCCTGTTATGTTAAACTTGATATGTTAAGCTTACCTAGTATATGAAACGTACCTGTTACATGTAAGTTACCTATTATTATAAGAAAGTTACATATTATATAAAACTTACCCAGTATGTGAAATTTACCTAATATGTGTAACTAACACACCTGTAGTATGTCAACTGTTACTTACCTGGGTTGTACTGGTCAGTGCATGTCAAAAATCCGCCATGTTTACAGATGCAGTTAGCTCCCCATCGGTCATTAGTAACAACAGTGTCTTTCACAGGGCTAGACATGAATGAATGATAAAATGTTCATTTAATATGCAGTATCTTTCACAGGGCTAGACATGAATGGATGATAAAATGTTAATTTAATATGCAGTTTTCAATTGTGAACATGCCAATACAATTTTTATTTTACTTCCACAAAATGGCAATATTAAGTACTGATACTGTACCCAATACTGTACCCAAGTATTTAAAAAGTTATGATAATATTGTTTTGCAGTTGCTTTTAACAATAGAATATATTAATACCTAAACTCCAGCGGTGCAATGCTGAAGATATTAAACACTGTTTAAGCTATAAATATTTTGCAAACACAAAAATTGTACAATTATAGAAAAAAAAACATTTTTTAAAAAAAATTAACCACCTATAATTAATTAGCTGTAACATTAAAAAAAAATAAAGTGTAAAATGTGGGCCCTGCATTAAAATTGAAAAAAAAAAATACAATGAGAGTTACCTGTCATTGTACAACCAGGCAAGGAAGTGAGTACTGTTCCAATAGGTGTCAGTGCTGGGACAACCATCTGACCAAATAATATCTGGCTTGTACGTGTTGACCAGTTCATACAGCTCTGGTAGGGATTTGGTCTGAAGGGGTCAAACACAAGGGTCAGTATGATATGTGTCATTACATAAGGGTCATTACAATATGTGAAACATGGGTCAAAACAATAGGTGAAACAAGGGTCATTACAATATGTGAAACAAGGGTCATTATGACATGTGAAACAAGGGTCATTACAATATGTGAAACAAGGGTCATTACAATATGTGAAACAAGGGTCACTTACAACATGTGAAACAAGGGTCATTACAATATGTGAAACAAGGGTCATTACAATATGTGAAACAAGGGTTATTACAATATGTGAAACAAGGGTCATTACAATATGTGAAACAAGGGTCATTACAATATGTGAAACAAGGGTCATTACAATATGTGAAACAAGGGTCATTACAATATGTGAAACAAGGGTCATTACAATATGTGAAACAAGGGTCATTACAATATGTGAAACAAGGGTTATTACAATATGTGAAACAAGGGTCATTACAATATGTGAAACAAGGGTCAGTACAACGTGTGAAACAAGGGTCACTTACAACATGTAAAACATAATTATTACATGTGTCATTACAACATGTGAAACAAGGGTCATTACAACATGTGAAACAAGGGTCATTACAATATGTGAAACAAGGGTCATTACGATATGTGAAACAAGGGTCATTACGATATGTGAAACAAGGCTAAGAAATTTTCCATCAAGATCTGATTGATTGATTCAGATCAGATGACCACCCCAACCAATGGCTACATGAGTTGAGGATAACCTCCCCTGTTGCCTAAGTCTTTAACTAGATCGCACACAGGCAGCACGAGGCAGTCCATCTTGACCTGGACGTCCATCTTGTCCGGCAATTCATTCTGACCATTTGAACGTGAGAGAGCTTAAGTCCTGAGTGTGCTATGCAATCTTAAGTTGTTTTAGTATTCTAGTATTATATTACTTGAGGCCAAGTGATTCTTGATGCTATAGCAGTGTTGTGTGACCTGTGGCTATTTTTATACAGTGTTAGAATCTGTAATAGTATTTTTTCTTACGCTTTGTAAGTTGGGTTTTGTTATTTTCTAAATTAAATATTTTATCTTGTTTAACCTAGTGTTCTGCCACAACTGTGTTCGCTTATTAAAGGTTGTATGCAGATTGGATGAGTTGTTAACTTCAATAGTATCACTAGTTTTCCCTAGACATCGAGATCGAGCCCTAGTGTGTTGTTGAGTTAGTGTTCATTCATTTAGGCTGTAAGTCATTTGCATATAACCCCAAAAAAGAATCCGGGGGCGTTCACCATCTATCTGGCTGGTAGATAGGTGTCCGTTACAAGGGTCATTACAATATGTGAAACAAGGGTCATTACATTAAATATGTGAAACAAGGGTCATTACAATATGTGAAACAAGGGTCATTACATTAAATATGTGAAACAAGGGTCATTACAATATGTGAAACAAGGGTCACTACATCATGTGAAACAAGGGTATTTAAACATGTGAAACAAGTGTCATTACAACATTTGATTTATAATAACAATAATAACAAAAATAACGATACTTACAAATGGGAAGTTCTGAGTCGTGTAATTGTTAGCCTCGTCCTCCAAGTAAACAGGATTGAACCATTCAAACAAAGAATGGTAGACTCCATACCTCAAATTTGGGAACTTCCTCACTTCAGCTGCTAAATCACCTGTAGTTATGATCCAGGAAAATACAACTAGCATTTTAATTCTGATATTGATAACACGCAAAGTAAAATGGTCACAACATTATAAAATATTTTACATCACATCAAGGAGGATTTCACTACAACCTTAGTTATTTTTTTGGTGGTGTTAGTTAGTAGTTGGATTATGTATTTCATACAATTGAGTTGCCTTGCTCACAAAACCTACAGTTGCTTACATTACATGATGGTATTATAGGGCAGAGGTAGGTGGACAAGTTTGAGAAACACTGATTCTTTCAGCAGCCAGTAGAAGGGAACATAATGTCAGATTTTCCTCAATCCACCAACTTCTATGTAGTTCTCTAAGGTGTGGTCAGTTGCTGTGTCCACAGCGGGAGAGACTAGTTTTTGACATAAAATTATGGTCCAAACTGACCATGTTGGATGGAGATACACTTAACCACTTCATAAATGAGTATAAATGGCCATAGAGCCAACATATGAGCTACAACAATCTGAAGGGATGGTACAAAGAGCAGCAACTCTCATTGTGTCACCTAGCCTAAGGGGAATAACAATCTGGCTAGCCAGATTGATCAAAAAAGGATGATCATACAGTCATCATATTGTGGCACATATACCAAATCATAAACTAAACAGAAAATATATTTAAAACTTTTAAAAGGTTTGTTTCATTCATGACATGAAAATGAAAGAAATTATTAAAATATTGTACAGTTTTTCATGTTTACTCACTATATAAAAATGTGGTTTTGACGATTCTGAAATTAACACGGTGTGCTACACTGTCAAACAAAACAAATGATAAATCTTAAATCGAAACCTTTGTTAATTAATTTTAAATTAGATTTCTCAGCTTATTTACCGACAAGATCTCTTTTAGGGCCAACATCCATTGAATTCCAATTGAAGGAGTACTTTGACGGCCAGCTTGTGAATCCTTCATGGTGTTTGGTAACTTGAACAACATATCTGTGTTGGTATATAGTGTATATAAACATAATTACAAATTATATTCGTTTAAGTACTCAGTTTCTTAACTAATATCTTTGCATGACTAAATAATTGGGATGGGTTGGTCTAGCGGTAGAGAGCTGGACTCCTAACCCATTAGTCTCAAGTTCGAGTCCGAGTTCAAGTCAGTAGACCGTTCCTGAGCCAACCCAACTCTGATGGGTACCTAACTCACGTTAGGGAAAGTCAAGGTGGCTGGGCATAGGGCTGACCACACTATCCCTTCATATGCCGAGGTCACAGAACAAGTGAACTCAACTTCACTTGCACTATAGACCATCAGGTTTGAAAAGGGAACTTTACTTTTTACTTTTTACTAATTAATTGAATTGCAGATAATTTTTAATTTTCTCTAATAACTTTTTAAATTTTGGAGTCTAACACCATAGGTTTATCTATGCATCTCTCATTGAGTTTGAAATGCTGAGTCACGTGCATACAATGAAGCTTATTGTACTAATGGCACCTGTTCATTTCCTGTGGTCAAGACACAGTGGGACTGTTGTCCATTACAAATTCCTACCTCTCTTGGTTTCTGATTCAACTTTTGCCAAGTGAGAGTTCTACAGTCTCAAACCATAAGTTGGATTATGAACAGGATTTAAACTTGAGTTATTCAATTTGAAAATGAGCGCCTAAACCTAACAAATTGCCTAAACCAAATGACATCACACTGCTAGAGTGGAAGGGATTTGACTTTTCTAATGATGGGAAGAAAGGTTCAAATAATGTAATGACACACTTTGGCAATTAAAGAGTAATTATTTCGCATTTTAAAAAGACTTTGGTAAATAGTAATTTAAAAAAAAACAACATATATTTAATAGTGAATGTGCTCAGTAAATATTATGAAAAGAAGTCACTGTTTAAAAAAAATGAAATTGGGGTGTTTGGCTGAGTCACCCTGTCATTTTAGTTAAGTGGGTCTGGCTTTTTGTGATAATGAGTGACGATGGGGAAAGATGGGAGGTAAGAATTGTAATAAAAAGCATGATGTCATTTATGGATGACCCCCTAAACCCAGCCTCTCTTGATTATACCACAAGTTCAGTATAGTCTTCAACACTGAATGTTATTTCACAGCCAGAAAAAATACTTATTTAATTAAAAATTAACCTAAAAAATTTCAACATCAATTACCTGGCACCGGAGGCATTAAAAACTTCTGCCCAGTGACGTGGGTTATATATTCCAGTTGGGGTAACAAACTGTTGTGCAAAATCTGCATAAGTCCAATCTGGAGGATAGTTCTTGGCCATAAAATCTTCTATGGCCTTCCATTTTTTGGGACCTTGCCAGTGATACCAGAACCATTCACTGCTAAAACTTGGGACTGATTGTAAATGAATCAAAATATTAGTAAGCCTAATTATTACTAATTCATAATTAGGGGTCGTCCATAAATGACCATAAATGACGTCACACTCGTAGGGGGGTCGGGGGTGACACTTTTGCATTATAAAAAAGCAATGTTAGAAAACGAGTTTTAGCCGTTAGTTCGCATTTTGGTTAACAGTTTTAATAAATTGAGGGGGGTTGTAGGCTGAGGTGTGACGTCATTTTAGAAGGGGGGGGGGGGGGGTCCTGGCATTTTGTGACGATGTGTGACGGTGGGGAGGGGGAGGTAAAAATCAGCAAAAAAGCGTGATGTCATTTATCATTTATGGATGACCCCCTTATCTGCCAAAATTTGACATAAATCATAAATTATAATAAAATATAGGCCCTAATGATTGACATTAGCTATTATTTAGATTCTTCTACATTTTGAGTACTACCATCAGATGTAGCTTAATTTAAAACCCTTTTCAAGAAGATTACATATTAATGAAATCTACTGTATCTGTCCGTCTGTCACTAAAAATAAAATGCAGAAGCAATCTCACTAGATCTAGAAATCTAGGTTGAATTATTCTAAGTTGATTGTCTACATACTACATCTAGAAAATCTAGATCTAGTAGTATTACTGTATTATACACTAGAATCTACATATTACTTAAGTCAACATTATTCTTTAAGTTGTTAAGTTCAAAGTTGTTACTTATCACTTGACTTGACACTTGTCGTCTTGTGTTGTTGTGATTTTTACTAACTAACCTGAAAAAACACCCCAGTGAATGAAAATCCCGATTTTTCCTTCATCGTACCAGTCGGGCAGAGGTCTAGAATCTAAGGAATCCCAGTTCGGTTCATAGCGAATCGCTTCTGCAAAGGCATTACGGTTATTTAATGTCAAATAAAAAGGGGTAATAAAAATGATAGCCGTTGCCACTGTTAATTGTTTAGAAACAATGGTGAACTCCATTTTGTACCGTCACATGACTAAACTCTTGTGACATTTATTTGACTTTTAAATATAAACGAGCTAAGAGAACTAAAATAAACTTCAAAATGCCTAATTAATTTGGGCATTCACAAAAAACATAAAATGGATAAAACTAAAGTATTTTTAATTATTCAATAAAATCAAAGCATTTTTTTAAATTATTATTATTTTTTGATACAGTACATTATATTTTTATCTAATTTCAATCCTCGGTAGTATAGTGGTAAGTATCCCCGCCTGTCACGCGGGAGACCGGGGTTCGATTCCCCGCCGGGGAGAGGATTTTTTTTTTCTCTTTAGTTGTACTCCACTCGGAATTTTATAACTTAAGGTTCTCATCATGTTGAACGTTTAATATCAAACTAGGCATGCTGCCCAGCTTCGCTTAGGCTTTCGAAAACATTGAGAATTTGAATGCTTAATTAATTCGCCAGAGGGTCGGTCTACGACCTCAGGAGTTATGAAGAGGTTCCTCCGTGGACATTTTTTTCGATTTATAGCTCATATAAGGCGCCGGTCAGTCGAGGTCAGTGTTGACCCCCTCATCGTAGACTTTTCGGCCAACCGGCCCTCGTGTTCTGTCGTCCCAAGGCAAGATCGTGCCAAATTTGAAGCGCCTGCGGCGCCGGGAAGTACCCTATCGGACACCCGACAACTTTGCTTTATATATTATAGAGATTAGCAAATTGCATAGATAAACAAAGATTTCAATAAAGTAATTAAGGCCTGAAATACTTTAGTATAGAAATGTATTGTTTGAATAGATTCTAGATCTAGGTAGGGTCTACATCTGTGTAAGTCTAGTTTCTCCGTAGATCTAGATCATCTAGCTAGATCTAGAATCCTAATAGAATTTTTTTTTTTAAGTTTAGCCCGAGCAAAATAAAAAAATTTACCAAGTAGTCTTGGTGCGTCTCGAACCCGCACCACCTGCGTGGGTTTAAGTACACTATCATCTCCGCTATATAAGCACCTTATAAAACACGAAGAATAAAAGACGTATTTTAAAATCTTAACTTACGCGAATATGCCTATTTTTTCAAATTAATTTTTTTATCCCAAATTAGCCAGTTCCAAACAAAGACTTTGTATAAAATAATTATGTCTTGAAATAGTTTAGTCCTAATATAGACATTTATTTTTGGAATAGATTCTGGAGAAGTTAGAAGATCTTAGCCGCGGTCTACGTCTCGATCTAGATCTAGTTATTGCGTAGATTTGTAGATTTAGATCTAGTCTAGATCTAGAATCTCTAGATCTAGAATCCAAATAAATAAAATAAATTTTATGAGTTTAGGCCGGAAAAATTGTATTGTATACATTTCATAGTGTACGTAGATCTAAATCAAATTTGAATGAAATAGTTCATTTCTTTTCATTCTAAACACGGCAGATGACGTCATTAGTTAATGTATAAGCAATAGTGACGTCACAGTTTTATGCGTTCTTTTTCACATGTATTAATGCTTTTCCGGTTGCATAAATAATACTGTTTCTCTACATTCGAATACGCCTTTAATTTTTATTTTTCTTCTTTAACTAAAATTGTGGTTATACATTTAAAACATCTAACATATTATTTTCAACAAAAGTCCGTAAAAAGTTCTTCATATATCGCTGCCGATTCTGACGTGATGTCCGGCGAAAATTTTTTGCGGACAGAGAAAGAGAGAGAGAGAGAGATGTGCGAACGTGGGGATTTATATATTAGGATGGCTCTTGGATACAAAAACTCGATAAAATGTACAGATTCTATTATGTTAATTTAAGAGAACACATGACATTTCACATCAACTTCACTTCAGGGAAAATTCTTGTAGTGACCATCAATAGTAGCTATTGTATTGTATCCCTAATGATGTAGTGCTGGTTCAGTTATTTAACAACAATGTACTATACAGGCACTTTCAGTCATCTATATATATATGACATATGAAGGTTTAGTGTGTGTATAATAAAATGCACAACAGCTATATGGTATAGTATTGTTAACAGTATGTGCTCAAATGCTAGCCCAAAAGTCATAAGTTCAAATCCTAGGCTAGGAATTGTAGTAAAAAAATTATTATGTGCATCATATAATTTAAAAAATGAAAAAGAAAAAATAACTGATTAAATTAACAATAATTTATTTCATTTCAAATTTACTGCAATGTAGCAGAATTATTGCACAAAAAAAAGTCAAACACAAAAAGTAATTAAAAGTTCATTAGCGAAACACACAAGTATATACATCTCAACAATAGTTTTCATAAAACTCATTTCATTATCACATTTTTTATCTAGCATACAATCTTTCATTATAAGCTTTACAATTGGAAGCAATCATTAGAACTATGAACAGCAAGGATAAATTGTGCATAAGTATAGTAAGGATCCATAAGATAGCTATATCAGTTTTTATTCAAGTCATTACTTAAAGAAAAGTTAGTGTATAATAGCACAAAGGTAACATAAAATAGTGTGTATAGATAGTTTACAAACATAAATACAGGAAATTAAGCCAAATTATAAAATAAAATTTAATCAAATTCTTATTTCACAGAAGTTGTAATTTATAATAAAGATGAAACTTTTGTTTTTTAAATCAACTAAATGTTTACCCTATTGACCAAAGCACCTTTTCGCTTAATACTGTCCAAAATAAAAGTATACAAGTAGATGTAGATAGATTTTTATTTTAGAGTATTTTTCACACATTGGCAGTTTTTTTTTAAATATGAGACAATGTTGTGCATTACATTTTGTGCAGCTATACTGTATAATGTCTTCAACTGACTTTATCAAAGATTTCTGGGAGAAATTCTAAACATCTAGCTTCCTGGGTAGAAAAACAATGTATTATATTTAAAGACATTACTTTTTACTATTTAAAACAAATTTTTTAAATGTAAATTTTACACATACTGTAAATAATGTTGAACAAAAATAAAAGAAGAAATTCTTTAAAAATTTCATGCAGGTAAGTACCAGGGCACTTAACACTTTGTGTAGTAACAAGCAATGTACTTGGCTAAAAATGGATTTTAATAACAACTTTAAAAAAACAATAGATAAGAAACAAAACAGAAGATGACTTGGTTAAACCGCACACTAAAGCAGCCAAAGAATTCAGTATATCAGAACAGTTTAAGTGTTAACCTGTATGAGCTAAGTAACTCTGTTTTATCTAATTGCAAAAACTTATCTTCAAGCATGTATGTATTTGCTACATAATCAGATAACTACAACTGTTAAACATTCAAGTCAATAGTAAAAAATAAAATGCGATGTAATTTTTTTTAAAAATGCCATCTGTCAAGACATGTATGGAAGAGTGAACTTGCTTTGAGCACCATAGACTGCATAAAGAAATCAGAGAGAGGGTTTATATAGGAACAGCTATCACCAATTTCATACTGACAGTACAAAAATCCAGTCATGTAAGTACTTCATAATGGCATGCAGCTCACACAACTTTCTTGTACAGCTAAATACACAACTATTTTTTTAATTCCTGTTGATCAATTTACTATTACATCTGTCAACCAATAAAACACATGAATTACAAAGTCATGGCAGAAATAACATAGATTTGATAAACAGCTTTGACAACAATATGGCTGACATAAGTAAATTAAAAAACTGGAATGTAAAGGTGAAGATTGATGAACAAGGACAACTTTTTTCTATCAGTTATCACTAGATGGTTTAAAAAAAAAATTGTTTTTGAAATAACAAATATTTTTTTTCCTTTGAGTAATATTTACTACAGGCAATGGTTTTTCTAATTAGAACACAGACATTTTAAAATGTAGTTTTGAGACGATAGTTGATCAACATATGATGATTGATGAATATATGATGGTTGATTAACATAAACACTAACGATTTTTTTGATGACCTATCGATGTACAGCAGGAGGAAAGCTGGATTTACATGTCTTTTCTCTAATCTTGGTTAATTCATAGCCACCTTTAATGATAATCAAATTAAATCTTGTTATATATCAGCAGTGTAAAACAAAATTGTCTACATTCCTTATTAAGGTATTATTGCTACAAGATGCAGTTTTAAGTGTCAAGAAAAAGGGACATTGTTTTGCTTTATGGAGTTAATATTTTTATAAAATCTAGAAACCTTCCAGGATTGTATTTATGTAACAAAATTATTTTGATGACTGATGTATTAAAATGTATCCAGATTTATTAGAAATGTGTTTTTTCTCCATTTAAGCTGGAAATTTACCCATTTCTTTATTTTAGTTTGTATTACTTTACTACAAAATAATTTGAGGGAAATAAAATTTCAATGATGAACCTCATTTACAAGTAGAAATGAGCATTTAAGATCAAAAGTGTATTTTTTAACATACTCAGAGGCCTACTGTATGCAACAATATCTTACCATAATGTAAAGCAAGCAGTGATTCAGTTAGTAATCTGACCACAACACAACCTTTTTGCCCTTTTCACAACTAGCTATAGAGGTCCCAGTGGGGTTCCACGAACAAGCTAAAACAGCATGGCTATTAAAAAAAAAAGTTTTTTTTAGACTCATTTTTTTATAAATGTAAATAATGTTATAATTAAAAAAAAAAAACACCAAATAAGGACAGAAATTATACAATAATTTTTATACCTTTTAAAAAAAATGAAAATATTTTTAGTACGGCTATTTAATCAGATTGATTATAAGAGAGTTGACCTCAACTTCAATTGAATTTTAATAGTATCCATTCTCCTTTTTAAGTATCAAACAGAATAGAGTAGAAAGGGCTGTATACTTAAACTACAGCACTACCTAACAAATCCTACACATCAAAGATACTTGCCTGTGTTCTTTAAGTACTTTCTCTACTTTGCCTTTGTTGATATTCCAGACATATAAATTCCCATCACCAGAGCCAGCAGCGGCATATTCAACATCAGGACTGAAAATATACAAGACCCAGGCATATAGGTGACAAATGTAAGAAAATAATTATTTCAAGTTAAATACTCCATACAGACATAGCAAAAACCTTGTGAAAAGTAAAATTAATTATATAATATTACAACATGAAAAAAAACCCATTGTGAATATAACTTTTCTAAATGGGAAAACAAAAGCAGGGGGGGTTGTATGTAAAAGAAGGAAAGAAAGTAATTTAGTTCTCTACCCTGCACAATAGCCATAACCTTTGCATCAGAGAAAACCCATCTCCACAAACTATACCTCTACATTTTATTCCTAAAGTGTAATCTCAATGCAGTTGTTTCAGCATTGGCTTTTATGTTGTGCTTGAAAATGTTTTACATTTATATTTATAACTCTATATTCAGATCAATATTTAAATTGAAAGTAGTTATATTTAAAATTTACCTAAAAACTGCTCTTGACCAATCACAGCCAACTTTAAATCCCTCTGCACTGTAAACATATAAAGTTAAATATCTAAATACATTTTGATTAACACATAAAAGATGCAAATTATTTTAATTTTTATTTTAGACAAAAAATGTTTATTAAGCTTAAAAAATAGCACCAATTGTAAAAGGAAAATATTTCTAAACTTAAAAAAATTATAAATATTAAATTTAAATTCCCAGTTAATAATTTTTTTTTATTCAAGAAGAAAAAAAAAACAAAATATTTGAAAAAAGAACTGACGTAAGAGTTGAAGACACTTGGTTCATCCTAAGGTCAATTATTTTCAGACAGTCATCTCTAGTGCAACACAAAAGCTGATTTTTATCTGCAAGACAAATACATTTGAAAAATCAATATTTTTTAATGGGTTTTTAAAAACAATACTTAGTATAGTTTTTTTTTTAAAACTTGCTGAGTGAAGATGACATAGCTTACGACAAATTCAATGATTCTTAAAAGATATAAGTTTTCAAATGAAGGCCTAGATGCCTGTAATTTAAGACCAATTTAATGATTAAAAATAACCTAGTAGCACTAATTGACTCATATCCTGGTGAGTTACATTTGCATTTTATAACTATACAAATGTTGGTCACTAGTTAGTATTAGTAGTTAATGCAAACAATTTTTGCTTTTGATGGAAGAACAAACAAACCTTACCAGGAGAAAGATTTAAAGAAGTGAGTCTGCCTTGTAAAAGAATTTCATTGGTGCTACTATCCGCCTGCCCCCTAGTATCCCAGAACCTGATTCTTTTATCAAAGTGTCCACTGATGACACTAGTTCCATACATTGTAACTAGATCGTTGCAGCTGCTGCCAGCAAATATTGTTTTTATACCTGGGAATGTAGAAAAAATTTGTTTCAATAATCATATCATAATAATTAGATTAGGACAGCATTTTAACAACATATGTAGTAACGGGAAGTTTTAAAAACACTTTAAGATTAATCAATGCTAGATTTTATACATTTCTTTAATTTCAGGAAGAATTTTTCCACTATTTGGGCAGAATATTAAAATTGATAACATTACTACACAAAGAGATATATTTTACAAGAGTTTTTGAGGTACTATTATAATTACCATCTCACAATTTTAACTTTAGATAACTTGTTGATATGTGATATATACATAAAGTAATTAGAGATGTACAACAAAAAAATGGTATTTTTTTAAACTGCGTAAAGGGTCATTCATAAATTATGGAAGTAGGAGGTGGGGGGGGGGGGGGGGGGGGTGATGAAGACATGAGTATGACAAAGCAGAAGGGTGGGTGCGGTAAAAATTTGGTGTAGAGCCATGACATCATTTATGGACGACACCGAAGGTAAATCACCCCCCCCCCCTCCAAAAAATAATTGCGGTATTTCCAGGTGAAAATAAAACATTGCAAAGAAATGTTGGAATATAAAGAAAACAATTGAGCTCTGATAAGTTGTGGTAATCAAATTTTAGTTTAATCTTCTTGATAATTTCATCACAATCCTTTTCCTCTTCATTATAAATGTTTCTAATCTCAACCCTAAGACTATTTAATAATTTATTTTTTTAACATAGACTACATAGCAAAAAAAAGTATGTTAGAAATCTATATATATAAAGCAAAGTGGTCAAGTGCCCGATAGGGCACTTCCCGGCGCCGCAGGCGCGTCAAATTTGGCACGATGGTGCCTTCGGGCAATAGAACACGAAGGCCAGTGACGGTTGGCCGAAAAGTCTACGGAGAAGGGGTCAAAACTGACCTCGACTGACCGGCGCCTTATATGGGCTATATTACGAAAAAAAATTTCCTCCGACGACCCCCCTTGAAATTTTGTGAGGTGGTAGGAGAACACCTTGGGGTGTCACAAAAAACTCGCCATGTCCGGGAAAAATCGGGAAATGGGTCAAAACTGACCAGTCGTATTTCCCTATATAATCTTTGTATTTTATGGGAAAAACAGAGGGTCATTTCAAAACGGATTTTAGGGCACTTACCCTGTTTACATCTGGCTAATTTTTGACATGTTTATAGGTAAATGGCTTGACCGTAGGGCTGACCTGTCGGTCTTACTCAAAGCCCTCGACGAGGGCTAAAAAGTGACCGCGAGTGAAATTCTCTTTATATGAGCTCTATTACGAAAAAAAATTTCCTCCGACGACCCCCCTTGATATTTTGTGAGGTGGTAGGAGAACGCCTTGGGGTGTCACAAAAAACTCGCCATGTCCGGGAAAAATCGGGAAATGGGTCAAAACTGACCAGTCGTATTTCCCTATATAATCTTTGTATTTTATGGGGAAAACAGAGGGTCATTTCAAAACGGATTTTAGGGCACTTACCCTATTTACATCTGGCTAAGTTTTGGCATGCTTATAGGTAAATGGCTTGGCCGTAGGGCGGACCTGTCGGTTTGACTCAAAGCCCTCGACGAGGGCTAAAAAGTGACCGCGAGTGAAATTCTCTTTATATGAGCTCTATTACGAAAAAAAATTTCCTCCGACGACCCCCCTTGAAATTTTGTGAGGTGGTAGGAGAACACCTTGGGGTGTCACAAAAAACTCGCCATGTCCGGGAAAAATCGGGAAATGGGTCAAAACTGACCAGTCGTATTTCCCTATATAATCTTTGTATTTTATGGGAAAAACAGAGGGTCATTTCAAAACGGATTTTAGGGCACTTTACCCTGTTTACATCTGGCTAATTTTTGACATGTTTATAGGTAAATGGCTTGACCGTAGGGCAGACCTGTCGGTCTTACTCAAAGCCCTCGACGAGGGCTAAAAAGTGACCGCGAGTGAAATTCTCTTTATATGAGCTCTATTACGAAAAAAAATTTCCTCCGACGACCCCCCTTGATATTTTGTGAGGTGGTAGGAGAACGCCTTGGGGTGTCACAAAAAACTCGCCATGTCCGGGAAAAAATAGGGAAATGGGTCAAAACTGACCAGTCGTATTTCCCTATATAATCTTTGTATTTTATGGGAAAAACGGAGGGTCATTTCAAAACGGATTTTAGGGCACTTACCCTCTTTACATCTGGCTAATTTTTGGCATGTTTATAGGAAAATGGCTTGACCGTAGGGCAGACCTGTCGGTCTCACTCAAAGCCCTCGACGAGGGCTAAAAAGTGACCGCGAGTGAAATTCTCTTTATATGAGCTCTATTACGAAAAAAAATTTCCTCCGACGACCCCCCTTGATATTTTGTGAGGTGGTAGGAGAACGCCTAGGGGTGTCACAAAAAACTCGCCATGTCCGGGAAAAATCGGGAAATGGGTCAAAACTGACCAGTCGTATTTCCCTATATAATCTTTGTATTTTATGGGAAAAACGGAGGGTCATTTCAAAACGGATTTTAGGGCACTTACCCTCTTTACATCTGGCTAATTTTTGGCATGTTTATAGGAAAATGGCTTGACCGTAGGGCAGACCTGTCGGTCTCACTCAAAGCCCTCGACGAGGGCTAAAAAGTGACCGCGAGTGAAATTCTCTTTATATGAGCTCTATTACGAAAAAAAATTTCCTCCGACGACCCCCCTTGATATTTTGTGAGGTGGTAGGAGAACGCCTTAGGGTGTCACAAAAAACTCGGCATATCTGGGAAAACTTCGTAAAGGGGTCAAAACTGACCAGTTGTATTTCCCTATATAATCTTTGTATTTTATGGGAAAAACAGAGGGTCATTTCAACGCAGACTTTAGGGTACTTAAGCTCAGTATATCTGGCTAATTTTTTGCATGCTCCTAGGTCAATGGCTTGACCTTTAGGGAAAACTGTCGGTTACACTCAAAGCCCTCGAAGAGGGCTAAAAAGTGACCGCGAGTGAAATTCTCTTTATATGAGCTCTATTACGAAAAAAATTTTCCTCCGACGACCCCCCTTGATATTTTGTGAGGTGGTAGAAGAACACCTAGGAGTGTCACAAAAAACTCGGCATATCTGGGAAAACTTCGTAAAGCGGTCAAAACTGACCAGTTGTATTTCCCTATATAATCTTTGTATTTTATGGGAAAAACAGAGGGTCATTTCAACGCAGACTTTAGGGTACTTAAGCTCAGTATATCTGGCTAATTTTTTGCATGCTCCTAGGTCAATGGCTTGACCTTTAGGGAAAACTGTCGGTTACACTCAAAGCCCTCGACGAGGGCTAAAAAGTGACCGCGAGTGAAATTCTCTTTATATGAGCTCTATTACGAAAAAAAATTTCCTCCGACGACCCCCCTTGATATTTTGTGAGGTGGTAGAAGAACACCTAGGGGTTTCATAAAAAACTCGGCAATTCTGGGAAAACTTCGTAAAGCGGTCAAAACTGACCAGTTGTATTTCCCTATATAATCTTTGTATTTTATGGGAAAAACAGGGAAATTTTAACACAATTTTTAGGTTACTTAATGTCTGTACATCATGCTAAGTTTTTGCATACACTACTATAGATGACTAGGCCGTATGGAAAAACTGTTAGTCAGACTCAAAGCCCTCGACGAGGGCTAAAAGATGATCTTGAGTGAAATTCTTCTTATATGATATATATATATATATATATATATATAAATAAATTGACGAACGATCCCTTTAATATTATGTGACGTCGTAGACCGACCATGGAGGGTAACAAAAAAACTTTATTCCCGTCGGAAACAGCCATTATAGTCGTTAAATAAGTTCATATAACGTAATTTCTTATATAAGCAAACAATATAAGTAAACAATGACATACGTCATACGTTCAGTTTTCAAGGGAGGTAACGTTTTTAAAATTATTATTTTTCAAATAATTGTATACTATTTTAAACAGAAACAGAAAATGACGAAGTATAGCATTTGTTTTAGTACAAAATTAAGTTGTTAATTTAGTTAAGTATGTTAATTAAATTAATTAATTAATTTCAAAAGGCAATGTAATATAAACTATGAGATATACTGTTCATGAAACCTGTGTAGTTCTAATTCCATTTTAGTTATACATTGCGTACTTTCCAAAAATTCGCTACGAATCTGCATGTAAATGACTAACAAAAACATTTTTTCTAAAGTTAGCATTACTGTTTAAATTAAACTTATTAAACTTATTAAAGCACTCCACACCCAATCCATCGCTAAATAATTAAGTATTCAAATTCTCAAATGCCTTTTAAAAACCTAAGCGAAGCTAGGCAGTATGCCTAGTAGGTATATATATCTAAATGTTGGTTGAATTGAGGCATACACAGAGTCACAAGGTGGTCACATCACCACTAACTCACAGCCACAGCAACCAAGAGAAGTGGTTTGGGTTATAGAGATGCATGTGGGATAAGTGTCCCAGAAAATGTAACAGACTAAGGCTGTTTACTAAAAAATGCATAATATCATAAAAGGCTAATTCATTTGTCATTGAAAAACCATCAAATATTGGCTAAAAGAATAAAGAAAAAAAAATATCAGGAAAAATGATAGGCAGCAAAACTTTCAGACTAATTTTTTCCACCAGAAAGAAGCAAAAAGCTGTTTTGTGTGTCTTACATGATTTGACGTTTAAATCCCAAACTTTGATAGTTCTGTCATGACTTCCTGAGACAACTTTACAATCACTGAGAAACTTGGCTGATAATACTTTCCCACTGTGTCCTGTTAACGTGTGCTGAAAATTTTAGTACAAAATTTATATGAAACATTTTCCTACTACACAAACAACTTATTGAACAGTATAATTTTCCCAGATTTACTCTATTTTATATTAATGTTCAACATAGTATTGTTTTTAATCTAATTAAATAATGATCTTTGCAAAGATAAATTATAAGTATGGTTTGGTTTTCTATACTTTTTGACATTTCTACAATTATCTATAGCGATTTTAATTTTAATGAAAAGTCATATTTATAATTACCCGCAGTCTTTGATCCATAACAGTCCATATCCTACTCGCAAAGTCATTTGAAGCTCCAACAATCATTAGGTCCTGAAGTTAAACAATAGAAAATACAACAATCAGTTAACTATACTTGCCAGTATTGTACTAGCTATCAAGTGAATAGGTTTGTTGGTCAACTTACTGATGGTAGATAGAGAAGGTGGACCAGATGCTATCTGTTTCTCTGATAAAAGCAGATGAAGGGATTGTGTAGATAATAGTGGAACGGAATTTAATTTCCCCAACTTTTGTGGGGTACCCATAATAGCTGCATATGCTCAAGAACAACTAAACTTTCACAGGTATTCCTTTGAGTTGAAGATAATGTGCTCTACTACTTAAACAACTAAGGGGTGAGTGAAATGAGGGCAGAGTGAAACAAAAACATACATCTTGGCTATAATCCAGGGAGGTAATTCCAGCATTGCTACCAACCAGAGTTCCCCTGCATTCACAAATACCTACAAAATATAGGGAACAGAAATATCTATACATGTTTGGGTATTAATTAAGCTATAATTACATTATGCTAAAAGCTATAGATTACATTACTTTACTACCACAAGAGTCTTCTATGGTGAAAAGTAAAGTCCACGTGTTATAGGTACAGTAACATTAAATCAGGTAATTGATTATAATTAAATTCCCCCCCCCCCCCCCAGAAAACAAAAGACAATAGTCACCATTCTTATCAGTCAATACAATTCATAAGTAATACTTAAACCTTTTAAGCTGTGTTTGGAGTTGATTATATCTTAATAAAATGTGCATTGCTAACTCCCAAGTACCAACAAGGCTATTAAACGAGCCCACCCACGGCGTAGTATACACCGCTATTTAGTTGTATTATTTTCTACTTTTCAGTAATTCATAATTTGTAAATTTGACACTACCAATGCTGCGACTGGTCCGAATAGTCCCACGTAGAGAATTATATATATATATATATATATATATAGATGTCTGTAAGGAAAAACTACCTACCGTTGTGGTACTCCCAGATTTTGATTTTTCTGTCAGCACCACCAGTGGCAAAGCTACTACCCATATAGTTCCACTGTACGGCATAGACTTCACCCTCATGGGCATCCTACAAGATTTGTTAAAATATAGACTGAATTATGATCATCAGAATCTTACAAGTTCAGAAATGTTAAAATATAGACTGAATTATTCTCATTAGAATCTTACAAGTTCAGAAATGTTAAAAGATAGAGTGAATCATACTCATCAGAATCTTATAAGTTCAGAAATGTTAAAATATAGACTGCATCATACTCATCAGAATCTTACAAGTTCAGAAATGTTAAAATATAGACTGCATCATACTCATCAGAATCTTACAAGTTCAGAAATGTTAAAAGATATACAAAACCATACACTCAAATACAAATTGAAAATTAATTTGGTTCTACTATGATTGACAGCAGGGCAGGGTAGTAAATTACAAAATGTCATTTTTGGGCCTGTATTACTAATATGGTTGGGGTAGAAATACCACCAATGAATAATTTACAAGATAGTTTTCTTTTGTTTGTAGAAAAAAACATTTTGAAATCACTGTGAAAAGCTAGTACTAAGGTAAGCTTTACAAATTTATTCTTTTTAATATTATGTATTTTATCTATTGCTAAAAACAGATTTAATTCTTAAACTTTGTGGGAAAAAAATACAAGGCATGTTTAACTATGTTTTGGTTAAGACATTAAACAAAATGGTAGCAATGAATGCTAACTCTAGGAACTAATACTATACTAGTATAAAATAAATTGAACATGCTTAATGTTACCAAAAGCTTACAAAAGTGTGTTGAGCTCTTGAAGGCACAGATGCTGCGACACAAACAGCAGGAAGAAAACCATCAAATGTTGAGCTAATTAAAGAAATGGAATAGAAATTTATGGGATATTTATTTGTTTAAAACCATCAAATGTTGAACTAATTAAAGAAATGGAATAAAATTTTACATGGCAACAGAAATAAAGGAATAACTATATTAATAGCTTAAGAGCAATTGGGACATTTATTTGTTTAAAACTATCAAATGTTGAACTAATTAAAGAAATGGAATAAAATTTGATATGGATTTACAAAGAAAAATCTACAATAATAGCATAAAAACAAACAGGATATTAAAAACTATCAAATGCTCAACTAATTGAAGAAACGGAATTAAAAAATTTACAAAGTTATAATGAAAAAATGTATATGGTTTATATCAAACAAAATATTATCTCAGTAAAATTTTAAAAGAAAACAAGTTAAATATTAGAAGAATCACAATGCTTCTCTTTTGTGCGCAATGGGCTTATATCATACCTTTATCAATCAGTGTCCTATGTTAACCCTCTAAATATAATCCCCTGAGGAAACTTTCTCTCTAAAGGAAACAGCTGAACAAGGACACATGGATTGAACAGCCTGTAGAAACTTACCCAGGGTCAATTGGTACTTGTTCTTTAGCAGCTTCTTCAAGGTCTTGAGCCAGTCTTTGTTGTCTTGCTCTTTGAGGTAAAGAAAATTTATTACAAAATGCCTGACAAATAATATACAACTGTAGTTTAAAAAAAAAAAAATCCAATATTTTTTAACAAAATGCCAGACAAAATAATATACAAATGTAATTAGAATAAAGAATCTAATATTTTCATTTAAACAAGTAGAATAATATCCACAACCAAATGCATTGCAAAAAAATAAAACTAGACTACATTTTAAAAAAACGATGTTTACTTGATGAAATCAGCATTTTCTGCATTCATCCTATCTGCATCTTTAGCTTTCTGTTCCATCCATCTTTGTATAAGGTCAGAATTGTCTTCCTGAGCTTTTCTATATCTTTCTTCCAATGCTGTGAATGCCATCTAATGATCATATTAAGAAAAAATATATTTTTATTTTAGCACACAGAAGACATGAAAATACTACCCAAAATTCCCCCAACTCCATTTCCTTTAAATTTTCAACTTAATAAAGTGTATCAGAGGCAAAGGGATTTGAACCTGCAATGCTTGATGCTCATCTTTCAACATTTGGTTAGTGGCTTCCAACTCTGTCATGGCCATCTCTAAAGTTTTCTTGGCTTGTTTGAGGGCTATGTTGTTTTCTCTCATATCAGATATCCTAGAGAACAATTGGAAAAATGTATTTTACCTTTTTCCTTTCTAGCATTTTAATTATCTCTTTTAACATCCAGTGTTATAGTAACACACACTTTAAAATAGTGTTTAAAGCAGGGATTGGAAACTTAAAAAAAAAAAAATAGGCATTTGTATAGAGGGTAAGAGGGGCTACTGCAGCAAACACAAATAAAACTATTGTTTTCAAGTACCACATGAAAACTTTTTTAAAAGAAGAAAAATTATGCACAGTGATGATACTTTGAGAAAACGAAAATGCAATAATATTAAAATTCATTTATTCTTTGGCAAGCAAACTTATTCAGACAATAGAGACACAAAACAAAAATAACAATCACCTTCAATAATGAAGGCCAATTAAGATTACTCCGTTACACTTACATGCTATCCTTGTGTTGCATTTCCTTTTCTTTCTCTTGAAGCAATGCAGTGAGGTCAATGATCTGCTGAGCATTCTGGGAAAAATAATGTAAAAACTTTATAAAGAAGAGCTACACGCATTTGTTTATCCCTCTGTTCTTGAGGCTTTTTCATCACCAAGGCCAGTGAATAAAGCAGAGATGGGTAATAAAATAATCAAACTAAATTCGCAGTACTGTTGTATTTGTTACAAAACCTTGAGAATAATTGCACTAATATTGATTTTGATTCAAATGTCCATTACACTCATTTAATAAATTCTACAACAATTAATTTAAGAACATCTTTTTTTATATATAAACAGATAAAAGAAATAATTTAATCAATTTCATGCCACTTATCTAAATTAATAATGTCTTTAATATATTATCTGGCTCTAAATCACTGGCCTGTGTGAAATGTAAATAAAGGGTTTCAGTTATTTTTTATAAAAAAAAAAATGTTCTGTGAACTAACACCTTATTGCTATAAATGAAACAAAGTTAACAATTGAAAATTCAATTACAGTTATATTAAAGAGAAAAATAATGTACTTATTAAAACACCAGTGTTGATAAAGTTGAAAATTATATTTTTTTTAATAATGAAGTGTAGTTAACATTTATGAGCGGGTAGTACTTATGATAATTGCTATAACCATAACTTATTACAACTGCAATTTCCCAAGGTATTACGTAAAAAATAATCTCACTTCTCCTCTTTTTTTGTGAAGCTCAGTTAACTCTTCCTGCAGTTTAAAAACTTTTTGTTCCAGAAGGTGCGTGCTGACATTGCTGTTACTAAAAATAGATAAAAGTACAGAAGCAAATTATTTATCGTAGGATTACCAAAACTACTACAACTTCATAATGATATATGCCATTTTGTAATAAAAAAAAACAAAGTCAAAGTTCAGGTGAAATGATTTGGGGGTGATGAAAATCAACAAGTATGTCTTCAAAACTATGATGAGATAAACAGAAGAATATCTTTTTTCTAACCATTATACATGATGAGAGTTATAAAATATAGAAATACTTACATTCCATCCCCTCGGACGTGAGAATTTAATGTTTCCTCTTTTAACTTTTCAATCTCAACTTGCAAATGAACATTCTTGGTTTGCAAAGATGTGGCTATTTCAAATAGACGACTATCTGGAATAAAGTTCAAAAGCTAAGTTCAAAACTGTTCCCACAAAAAAAAAAAAACCCACCAATAATCTGTTATAGTTATTCTTTATTTAGATCAGGTCTCATAATGCTTATAATAAAAAAAACTGTTGTCTTCACATATTTTATTGTATTTTATTTTTCAAAACTATTTACCTCACTTGACAACAATGTATTTAATTATTTAAAAATGTGACGTGATTGAATAATAAAAATAAGCATTTTATGCTTAGAATTAAAACAAATAAGAAATCAAGTTTGCACAAAGGTCACATGCGACGTATTTTTTTTTTTTACAGAGGTGATGATGATAGCTTGTCTTGGACATTAATTTGTAAAAATTACATTGGATAGAAAGTTAATACTGGTACATCAGCTGTGTAGGCTATATTATAATGTTCTTGATTATGGATAATTATTTAACTAATGCAGACAAAATGTCGCACATTTAAAAATGAATTAATTAAAAATAAATTTTGTGAAAACACGAAACCATAATAAACATAAAAGCTTTGTAAGATATATAGTCTTGACAGGCAAGCTACATTTGCACAGTCACTTTTTCATGATTTACCACAGTCATGCGATGAGTTATTATTTGACGATGAGAGTTATATAAATGTCAACTATTTCAGGCTGAGGCTCTAAGAAGTCAGTTTGGGCATTAAATTCTATGATGTACAATAGAAATACTTGGCAATAAAATAAATAAATTATATTAAGAAATTTTAATTTAAAATTGTGTAAGATATCCTATTGTATTAATACGAGATAAATGGCCCATTGAGGGAGAGATACTATGGGCGCTAGGTTGATAGTGTTGTCTTTTTCTATACCAAAACCAAAACAAAAAACTAGCTAGAGAGTATTTTTGACATTTTTTCGCATGTAATACTGAAAAAGCAACATATTAGATCTAGTTGAATCTCGCTGATGAACGAAGTTGTGTCACCTAAATGCGGTCCACAAATAAAGCCATTAAATTTAGATCTAGTTTTATCACTCATCAGTGACTCTGACTCAGTCACTGAGACGTCACAGTTGAGTGTGAGGACAGGACCGAGTTACTCAGTTTTTCATTTTATTATGGTTTTATATTAGTCTAGATTAAATTTCTTTTTGATACCACAATAATTCACTATATAGAATTTAATAACTGAATTATAATCTTACTTGTCTGTATAAGGCTGGTAAATGGATGTGTTTGTTTATGATTTCTATGTTGTATCTGACTCAGAATGACTGCCTTCCAATTTGAGCCAGCCGCCATGTTTGTTTCCCTTCGCGATGGGCAGAGCCATAACGTATTTACTGATTAACTTTTTTAATTTAAAATAAAGAAATGTAAAAGTAGCTGAGTATATTTAGTTTTTTTTGTGTTTTAGAATGATTTTAATGAAAAAAAGACAATAAATATTTAACTTTCGCTAAAATTTGCGAAACCAAATCTGCCACACATTAGTCTTATCTATCTATATACTACTAAAAGTCAAGTTTGTTTACATGTTTGAATATTTATTTGTTTGTTTGCCTGATCGAAAATTGTGATATGTTCGACTCTATCTGGAAAGCTGTAAAATGGTATGCAGGTAGAGAATAATTTTTTAATGCAGACAGACTGTTAATCACACATTTATTTAAAGACGTTAATTAATTTATTGATTTATTCCTACGCAGAATAACCCATTTTTTTTTAAAATGTTAAAACCTTGACTAAACTTTGTGGGAATAGTGACGTCACAGGTTTTTGTTTACTCTTTAGTACAATAAAATGGCGGCGTCTATTGAAGAAAATTGTGTTCCCATTCAAAAGTTTAACGCGTTCTAAATCTAATTTTCTGTCGGTCATAACTTTAACAATACGTCCGTTTGCTGTATTTATTACGTTCCAACACTTATATCAATTTTAAACTGTCTTTTTTCATTTAGTTTTACAATAAATTTCTCTAGATCTAAAGATCTCTAGATCTATGCGCGGAGACTCAAAAGTATAGTATAAAAATTCATTTGTGACGTCACGAGAAAATAGCTAAGTTGGTAGCGTAGCCCGCTCTCATGTGGGTGGCACAGGTTCTAGACCAATATGTCAATGCTATATTTTTTTTCAATTTTTTTTTTTAGATGTGAATGATAAAGTTGCCTATCTGAACTTGGAAGGATACAGGGCAGGTGAAGTAGAGTTCATCTGTTTCTTTGTCCTAAGCATATGAAAGGATAGTGTGGTCAGAGACATGCTCGGCTGGAATCGTTATTTAAACGATAAAAACATGTTGTCTGAGACTTGGCGGGACACTGGGCAGGTGAAGTAGAGTTGAGTAGGTCACATGTGACGTCAGTATATGAAGGGATAGGCCGAAATCGGTGTTTTCGGTGTTTTTAAAAGATAAGAAACATATTTTTGAATGTGGGGTCTGTTTTTTGTGACGATAAGTGACACTTCAGTAGCGTAGCGAGGAGGGGGGGGGGGGCGGGAGGGGAGGCGGGGGGGGGGGGGAGGGGAGGGGAGGCGGGGGGAGGTGGAGGGGGGCGGGGGGGGGGGGACATATGTTGGGGCGCCAAAATGGTTTGGAAAAATAAATTGAAAGGTTGAGGGGGGTTCAAATCGAAAGTTTGAGTGGGGGGGGGGGGGGGGGTGCACCATCAAAAGTTCGAGGGGGGTTGAAAATCGAAATCTTGGGGGGGGGGGGGGGTTAAAATCGAAAAGTTTGTCCCCGGGCGCCGGGAAGGCTCGCTATGCCTCTGAGTGACAGACGTGATGTTTTTTGATGGATGACCCCCGAAACCCACAGTTATCCAACGGATGACGGGTATTCTAGTATACTACTAAAAGTCAAGTTTGTTTACATGTTTGAATATTTATTTGTTTGTTTGCCTGATCGAAAATTGTGATATGTTCGACTCTATCTGGAAAGCTGTAAAATGGTATGCAGGTAGAGAATAATTTTTTAATGCAGACAGACTGTTAATCACACATTTATTTAAAGACGTTAATTAATTTATTGATTTATTCCTACGCAGAATAACCCATTTTTTTTTAAAATGTTAAAACCTTGACTAAACTTTGTGGGAATAGTGACGTCACAGGTTTTTGTTTACTCTTTAGTACAATAAAATGGCGGCGTCTATTGAAGAAAATTGTGTTCCCATTCAAAAGTTTAACGCGTTCTAAATCTAATTTTCTGTCGGTCATAACTTTAACAATACGTCCGTTTGCTGTATTTATTACGTTCCAACACTTATATCAATTTTAAACTGTCTTTTTTCATTTAGTTTTACAATAAATTTCTCTAGATCTAAAGATCTCTAGATCTATGCGCGGAGACTCAAAAGTATAGTATAAAAATTCATTTGTGACGTCACGAGAAAATAGCTAAGTTGGTAGCGTAGCCCGCTCTCATGTGGGTGGCACAGGTTCTAGACCAATATGTCAATGCTATATTTTTTTTCAATTTTTTTTTTTAGATGTGAATGATAAAGTTGCCTATCTGAACTTGGAAGGATACAGGGCAGGTGAAGTAGAGTTCATCTGTTTCTTTGTCCTAAGCATATGAAAGGATAGTGTGGTCAGAGACATGCTCGGCTGGAATCGTTATTTAAACGATAAAAACATGTTGTCTGAGACTTGGCGGGACACTGGGCAGGTGAAGTAGAGTTGAGTAGGTCACATGTGACGTCAGTATATGAAGGGATAGGCCGAAATCGGTGTTTTCGGTGTTTTTAAAAGATAAGAAACATATTTTTGAATGTGGGGTCTGTTTTTTGTGACGATAAGTGACACTTCAGTAGCGTAGCGAGGAGGGGGGGGGGGGGGGGCGGGAGGGGAGGCGGGGGGGGGGGGGAGGGGAGGGGAGGCGGGGGGAGGTGGAGGGGGGGCGGGGGGGGGGGACATATGTTGGGGCGCCAAAATGGTTTGGAAAAATAAATTGAAAGGTTGAGGGGGGTTCAAATCGAAAGTTTGAGTGGGGGGGGGGGGTGCACCATCAAAAGTTCGAGGGGGGTTGAAAATCGAAATCTTGGGGGGGGGGTTAAAATCGAAAAGTTTGTCCCCGGGCGCCGGGAAGGCTCGCTATGCCTCTGAGTGACAGACGTGATGTTTTTTGATGGATGACCCCCGAAACCCACAGTTATCCAACGGATGACGGGTATTCTAGTTCTTATCTAATCCGTCTCAATCAAGGATAAAAGGAAGGCTAAAGCAAAAATTTAATATGATTATGATTACCCTACGACAGCCAGTTTTTCTTTCAGTCATCTATTCGCCCCCCCCCCCCTACCAAGAAAGTCTACCGTTCCCCCAAACGAAATAGAATTTATATAGAAAATATATACCTTTAACAGTGTCCGCCCCCCCCCCCCCCCCCGCCACAGCCCATGGTCGCATTTAATTAAAAAGAAGTATCAAATTTATTTGATCGTGTTGTTAAGTGTTAACAAAAAAATGACATTTTAAAACCATGTCCTGAATTCTATAATGTTATATAGGCATATAGGGGCCTACATTTATAGGCTAAAATAGCCTCCACGATACGATATTAAATAATCATTCATATTAAGAAGAGTCGATACATATGTTATAAAAGACGTATGAGTTTTAATAATATCTGACCATCTGTTGTAACAAAAGAGGCCGATAAAATTACCATTAAAAACAGTTGGTTTTGCAAAGAATGATAGACAACGCTATTTGAAAAAAAACACAATAAAAATATATGTATGTTTATTGTATAGGCCTATTCAATCTATAACTGGTAAGTTATTTTCTTTAAATAATAGTTTAAACTTTTCATCATAGACATAAAAAGCAGTAACACGAAAATTAAAAATATTATTTATTAAATAATTAAAAAGCGAAGAGTTAATAGCATATTTACGAATAACAAAAAACACTGCATTGGAAGGGAGATTACTTATGATGTCAATAATATCAATCCAAAATCCATGTATCTAAGAATTCTAGATCTAGATTCAGATCTATCAAGATAAGAAAGTAAATTTAATTAAAGTAGGCCTATGATTAAAAAGTAACATGGTAGGCTTGGTTTATTGATGTTTATAATAAATAATAACATTCTTGGCTTATCATTGTTTAACTCTTTAATTAAGCCCGTAATTATTTTCACATTTTACCGGAATTATTTTTTTCCACTCATTTTTAGCGCAATTTCCATTCTGGAGAATTGCGTTTATTAACCCGTCATTTCTGGATGGATGAATGGATGGATGAATGTGTGTCCGCAGCTTTAAGTCGTATCTCCTCCTCAACGAAGCAATATCGAGGACTAGTTCCAAAAGCAATTATGTAGTTAGTCTCATATAAATTCAATTTTCTTCAAATTATAAAAAGAATAGCATGTAATTGTAGAGCTTTAAAAATGCAATCCAACAGTACCAATTTTATTAATTTAGCATAATTGGTTGATTAAATATAATTTTTTTAGTGTCGCAAATAAAATATATAGTAAATTATATAGAAACGCGACCAAAAACGCAGGTAAAAAGTCAAATTCACTTGTTTTAAAGCTAGTAAGCAAGAAAAGACATGATTCTTTCTTACTATTGAAATCAGTTTGCTTATACCTACATTTTTTTACACCAAGGTGAAAGTAAATAGTTTATATAAATTTATAAAATGCCATTTATATAATTTATTGTATGTTTTGTGATGAATTTTCAATTGGAAAATACCACATTTGGAAGCAGAACGGTAAATTCTACAGATCAGATGTTGTTTGGAATGTTATAGATCTATATCAAAATGTTTGTTTAATAGAATTCAATTAGTCCACCCATTTCTGATGGGTACCTGATATACATTGGGGAAATTAAAGGTAAAAAGTAAAGGCGGCTGTGAATAGTGCTGACCACACGGACAATCACTTCATATGCAGAGGTCAAGAAACATGAACTCTACTTCATCTGCCAAATAGATTGCTTGGTCTACAAAGGAATCTTAATTAATGTTTACAGGGGCCTAATAAAATTGAGTTATGTTTGTAAAAACATTAGGCCTAAGCTTTAAAAACTTATTTTGGTCAATATCGGAAAAAATAAAAATCTCTTCGACTAAATGAGTTGAAAAAATCTTTGAATTTGTTTAATTGTTTATTTGTTATTATATCTTGTAGTATTTAGAATTGAAGCTTTCTTTCTTAACTACAAGTTGTATAAATTTCAAACCTTAATGTAATTTCTTTTTAATTCTATGTTTTAGCCTAAGGTAGGCTACAGAATTCAGATATTACCTATGGTTTTGTGATTTTTATATGTTTATAACATTTGTATTTATGAAATGACCTGATGAACTTATTAAGCAAACTGTTTTATTATTATTTTAATAGGCCTGCAAGTTATAAGTACAAAATATAGATATCTAATCACTAGATCTAGGCCTAAGTTTAAGAAAAAACTACCAAAAGGGTTTGAAATACTTTAATATAGACTCTAGTACTAAAAGTAGCTATGTTTTGAAAAAAAAATATCTTAAACTGGAGACATTACATTTAAAAGTCATTATAAAAACTCCACGATCTAGATTTATTTCTAGATTTCTAGTAGGAATATAGATTTAGAGGCTTTCCCATCAGTATCAATGTACTATCTTAGCTATGTGGGAGGTCAGTACGAGTTCACTGGGAAAAAAATCGGATCTGCCGTACGGGGGGTGGGTTTAGTGCGCAAATGCTCCTGACCGATTGCCAAAAGGTACAGAAATTCTAAAGATACATTTTAAAAGATAAATGGACGGCTGAACTGCAGGTATCAAAATATCTGTGTAAGTAAAAGTATAAATAATAAAAATTTACACAAATATAGCTGTCTTTTGCTAAATCTAGCTCAACTTCCACAAAATCGCATCCGGTCGCAATAATTTTTATATCAGCTTGTCGGCCATTCAACGATCTATCACGTGTAGCAGACGCCAAACGGAGTTACCCGTATGGTATTGCACGAATGCTATTTTTAGCAACAGTGCCGAGACGCGATTGAAAAAAACGAACTAGAAAGTGGTCATAAAAAAGCGGATCAGGGGAGGTAATTCAACTCGCGTTATGAGACTAGCTAAATTATGTTAAGTAAGTTACGAGGATGAACATAGGCCATAAAAATTCCGGGTTTCTTTCATGGATTTCCCGGAAAAGCCAAAAAACCTCGAACAAATGCAGTTTTTGGCCCATATCTCGACAACCAGACCACTTAGCGACTTGAAACATGTACCAATCGATTCCTGCCATAATTTAGAACAATATTGCAGAAGAAAGTTTTCAAAAATATCCTTTCGTTCAGTCACAAAATTTTTTTGGAATTAATTAAAATTTGGACCGAATTAGTAGGCATTTTTATCCAACCACACCACACGCGTCATCACGTTCAATAGCTGCGCCATCACGTTCAATGGCTGGGTCATCACGTTCAGTAGCTAGGCGCGCAATGGTTTTTAGTCATGTAACTCTATTGTAAATAAAACATGTATTTTAACCAATGGTTTTACTAACCCTGCTCTTGATTTACGCTATGACAGAGCTATTTTTAGATAACATAAGGAAATTGCGCTTAAATGTCACTAGACTTTTTCATTAACTTGTTTTTCAGTTTTTGTTTTGCTCACAATTATTTTTTTTGTCCCCCAGGAATCATGATCCCACGACAGTTACACAAGCTTTTAAAGCCACCATCCCCTGCTCTAGGCAGAGGTGCTTCGAGTGCAACAACTCTACAGTCAGGAGAAACAGTAATGTCATCTTGCGGTTCAGTGCAAGCTGAAATAGGTGGTCATATTATAAATGCTGAGGAGGAAATGTCTTTACCAGCAAGAAATATTTCTGTGGAAACTTCTCTGGATGTCCAACAAAATACATTCCCCGCAGAATCAGCTTTAACTTTTGATCAGTCTGAACCGCAATCAACTGAAACAAAAAATCAAGATAGCTGTTCAGATTTTTCTAAAGACACCATTAACTCTTCGTCAGTTATCTTAGATCCCAATACTCCTTTACAGCAACAAACTATAAATCTTCACAACTTTTCAAATAACAATGCTGGAATAGAAACACCTTATGAGCCACAAATAGAGAATAAATCCAATATTGACTGTCGGTCAGTTATTATATCTGATAGCTTAAACACAGACAAAGAAGAGGCAATGATTACTGACAGCTCAGATTTGAAGTTGTCACCTGTTAGTGTGTCGATTCAGCCAGTTGGTGATAGAATTCCTGAAGAAGGAAGTCTTCAAGTTGCTACAGAACCTAAGGTCATGCTGGAGGAAAGTTGCAGTTATGAAGCAGAAAATGTCTGCCCAGAAAAAGATTTTTTTGGGAATAATGAACTTGTTACAGTGGTAAGTTTAATAAACTTGTTAAGATAGTTGCATTGACTTGTTACATTGGTAAGTTTGATGACCATGTTACAGTATTAAGTTAAATAAATTTGTTCCAGTGTTAAGTTTAATTTTAATGACTTACAAAAATGCCTACAAAAGCAGGTAGTTGATGTGTAAAATAATGTAGAATTGTTAAGTTTTAACCTAGAACAGTATTTAAATATATGTATGTGCCAATTTTTCTGAGCTTTTTGAAATGGATATGATTAGACTAGGTTTAGCCACTCTTCTAGGAGAGACGACTCCAAAATCAAACAACTGCTACCTTGTAGTTTGTTGTACAAAGGCTATGGAAGCAAATCCAAAAATAAAATCTGACTCAATGGCCTAAATGGCTCATAACCAGTTGACACTTATACTTAATTAAGAACGAAGAAGAAGAAGACTAAGTTTGCTTCCTATTCTATAGTAGCTTAAGAAACTAATCTTTAACCGACTTAAAATGTTGTCTGACTGTGTGTGTGTGTTACAACTAAGGCAACACAATTATAATACTTACTACACATTACAATCATTTTCTTTACTTCAGGATTATCATTTTCTTCAATTCAGGATTATCATTTTCTTCAATTCAGGATTATCATTTTCTTCAATTCAGGATTATCATTTTCTTCAATTCAGGATTATCATTTTCTCACTTCAGGATTATTATTTTCTCACTTCAGGATTATCATTTTCTTCACTTCATTATGATTGTTTACTATAATTCATTTTGATTACTTACTAAAGTAAAGTTCCCTTTTTGAACCTAACGGTCCAAGGCACAAGTGAAGTAGAGTTCACCTGTTTCTGTGACCTCGGCATATGAAGGGATAGTGTGGTCAGCACTATGCCCAGCTGCCATTGCTTTCCCTAATGTGAGTTAGGTACCCATTAGAGCTGGGTGGACATTCTACTGACTGGAACCTGGATTTGAACTCTTGACTTTCGGGTTAGCAGTCTAGCACTCTACAGCTAACTTACTATACTTACAGTATGATTAATTATAATTATTAGTGATACTTATGTCACGTATGATAATTTACTTACAGAACTACATTTTGCTTATAATTTGCTATGTAATGTATTGAAGTTACTTATTATTCTTTGTTATACTTACCTATAATACTTCACTGGCTTATTATTTATTATTCTTTGTTATACTTAACTATAATACTTCACTGACTTATTATTCTTTGTTATACTTACCTATAATACTTCACTGTATGATTATTTACCATAGCAAAACATTTGTTTTGATAGAATGAGCCAGCTGTATATTCAGGGATTCCCCAGATACAAACACAAGACCCTTCAGAGTCATTACACTCTAGTTCAGAGTATATCAAGTGTGCACCTCAGTATATCACTTCAGATATGCATTTGGACAGCAGTGAAATCTATACCTCTACAAATGATTTCAGGTACAATAGAATCTCATTATTGTTAGCCATTTTAAGAGTAGCCAAAAACTTGGTTTGAAAAAGTCATACGATTTAAACATACCATTCTATTAATGTTAAAAACCAACAATGTCCAACACCAAAGTATTAAATTAGATGAATAATAACTGAAATATTAATCATGAAATTTAATCATAATACAAAAAATTGATTGACATAAACTAACTTAAATGACAACTTTGCTTGTTGAGTAAAGTATATAATTTTTATCCATTATCAGTTTACATCCACAAAGAAACTTATTTTTTTCAGTGACTGTTCTAAAAATATGACTTGTGTCTCCACAGATACAACCTATCTGTTGATTCAGTACCAATGTTTGTGGCCGGTGCTTTTAGTGAGTTCACAGACAGTTGTGATGAAAACTTCTTAAGGGGCTGCAAGTGGTAAACTTTACTGTTATAACAATTAAAGTAGTTTTACTTTAGAAAGTACTGTTTCTTATTGTTCTTCCTCTTATTTGTAACAATGGATTAGTTAGACAGCCCTGTGACTTATATTTATTGATCCTCAAGTGGTTTTTGTTTAATTTTTCAAGGGCTAACTCTTATTAGGTCAATTTTGGGTTTAGTCTGGTTTTGTATTTAAATGACTGTAGATTAATAAGATTAATTCTTGCCTTGGTAGTGTGTGACTACTTTCACAGGATGGGTTATCAATCCACATTCACTTCCTTCATCCTTTTATTATTAAGACTTGAATTCCTCTTTGCTGTGTAAAACCTATATTCTTATTTATTAATGTTAAACGCATTAAGTTGATTAAGTTTATGTATTAACAATTGTTGTGATTTTTAGTTAAATTATCATACACCCAGAAAATGTATTGCATTGCAATGCGACTGTTTCATTAAATCAGGTCAAATAACTAATTTTCAGTTATTGTTTAAAATTGTATTCATTTTAATAACAGACTTATATTTTCTAATATGTTGAGGTTAATGTTGAAAGTGATATCCATCGACATCAGTAACAGACTTTTATTTTCTAACGTGTTGGGATTAATGTTGAAATTGGTATCTATTGACATCAATAACAGACTTTTATTTTCTGTTTGTTTTTTTTCAGGTCGCCTGATGGAAACCTTTTGGTGACCAATAGCAATGATAACTGCCTTCGCATTTTCCAGCCTCTGCCTGTGCAGTATCTAGACAATGGCAGCAGTGCTGAATTGGTAAATATATATATATATATTTTTTTTTTTTGCTTATTTTCTCACAAATTTTCTCTTTTTAGAAATAAGATAATGTGTCATTTATTGCAAACCTGTAAAGACATTGGGTGTTAGAATATTTTAATCAGAGTTTATTTTCCTGGAGTGTGCTGAAGTGGGGGTCTTGATGAATTAGTTCCAAAGGTTTACTAAATGGAAACAAATGGAAAAAATAAAATTTACAGTGAAAATGTACTCTGGTTTATTAAAAAAATATAACCTATGCCTAAATAAATAAATCAGGTTTCAATAAATTGTTTTGCCTTGCCTGTCCAATAAAAAATATAATGGAGCTTGAAGACACTTCTTGTAGAGACATGTATTTTTTATTCCAATCTAACAGAAGAGACAGGTGTTGATTAGAGAAAGTGGCCAGATTTATGACTTTGCCTGGCATCCACAGATGAGTCTGGGGAATCAAGATTTCTGCAAGTATTAAGATTACAAATTATTCACTGTTTAACCTTTACCGTTCTTATGTTTCACTGACAATTACATGTATTCAAATGTGAATTTAAGAATAAACAGTATTGTCAAACATTTTTATAGAAATTTAGTTCAAAGATTATTTCTAATAATTTTTATGGATTAAATATTAATGAAAATAATAATACATTTAAAATACATTCTTAGCTGGTTTTAACAAAACTCTGCAATGAAATTAGCATATTTCCCAGAGAAAGAAAAATTATCTTAAAAAATAAAACAAAATCACATTTTATTAGCATATTTCCCAGAGAAAGAAAAATTATCATAAAATTAAAACAAAATCACATTTTATTAGCATATTTCCCAGAGAAAGAAAAATTATCTTAAAAAATAAAACAAAATCACATTTTATTAGCATATTTCCCAGAAAAAGAAAAATTATCTTAAAAAATAAAACAAAATCACATTTTATTAGCATATTTCCCAGAAAAAGAAAAATTATCTTAAAAAATAAAACAAAATCACACTTTATTAGCATATTTCCCAGAGAAAGAAAAATTATCATAAAATTAAAACAAAATCACATTTTATTAGCATATTTCCCAGAGAAAGAAAAATTATCTTAAAAAATAAAACAAAATCACATTTTATTAGCATATTTCCCAGAAAAAGAAAAATTATCTTAAAAAATAAAACAAAATCACATTTTATTAGCATATTTCCCAGAAAAAGAAAAATTATCTTAAAAAATAAAACAAAATCACATTTTATTAGCATATTTCCCAGAAAAAAGAAAAATTATCTTAAAAAATAAAACAAGATCACATTTTATTAGCATATTTCCCGGAGAAAGAAAAATTATCTTAAAAAATAAAACAAAATCACATTTTATTAGCATATTTCCTAGAAAAAGAAAAATTATCTTAAAAAATAAAACAAAATCACATTTTATTAGCATATTTCCCAGAGAAAGAAAAATTATCTTAAAAAATAAAACAAAATCACATTTTATTAGCATATTTCCCAGAGAAAGAAAAATTATCTTAAAAAATAAAACAAAATCACATTTTATTAGCATATTTCCCAGAAAAAAGAAAAATTATCTTAAAAAATAAAACAAGATCACATTTTATTAGCATATTTCCCGGAGAAAGAAAAATTATCTTAAAAAATAAAACAAAATCCCATTTTTTTAGTATATTTCCCAGAGAAAGAAAAATTATCTTAAAAAATAAAACAAAATCACATTTTATTAGCATTTTCTCAGAGAAAAAAAATCATACCTAAAGATGAAACAAAATCACATTATATTTTACAGAATTGCTTGTACCTGTAATGGCATCCCTATACAGATGTGGGACTCAACCACAGGGAAAATTGTGGCCAACTATAGGGCATATGACCAGTTTGTAAGTGATTGAATATTTTTTCACAAACTGTCAATTACTGTTTTTTGTTTGTTTTTTAACGTAAGCAACTTTTTAAGGGCCCATCATAAACATTTCTACAGTCACTGGATATAGTGGTTGGATACCACCTTAATAATTTGGAAATCTAATGTTATTTCGAAATTGCATGAACTTTACACCCTGTGGTTCATGCAAGTAACATGAACAAACTGTGGTTTATTAGTTCTAGAGTTGATCATGATTGGTTAGCCCCAATCACTCTGTAGTGAAGGGCATGAATGGGGGTGAATGTTCTTTGTACCTGTTACCCTATTCTGTTTGTCTCTGTTCAGTTCTCGTGCTGTGAGTTGTAATAGTCCAGTTTGTACCAGTTTATAAAAGGGTATATAAGGTGTATGAAAACGTGTGTGATTGCCTCAGTTTCGTCCAGATCTCCAAGGCTAGTATAGGTTAGGTCTATACTAGTTTTAGCCACGCTATCTTAGTTTTACTAGCTTGAGTATTTTGTGTTTAGAATGGACTGTTTTAGGTGTAGATAGTGTAGATATTATTAAATTCTTTTAGTTTTAGTTTTAACGAGCCTTTGTTTTCATTCAGTCTTGTTTTGTAACCCGTTTGTGGTTGTTTGTCTTATATGTTGTGCTACTCATCAGATCACCCATAAGGCGTGTCAGTGTGTTCACAACACACTCCAAAAGTTAAAAGCTGATAATAGAATATTGCCAGAAAATACTGTCTGATGAAATCACTTGCAGGCTTTGAGGCCACTACAACAGAAAAGTAAATGTTCCTTTCAAACTTAATGGTATGTTAAATGACTCGGACACATATAGGGATTTTGTGGTCAGCCATTTTACTTTCCCCAACTCCGATACCTGTCAGAGTTGAGTAGGCTTTAGAGATGGCCAATCAACTTGCAAGGGCTTTGAACTTGAGGCTTCAGAGATAGCAATTGATTGTTCTACTCCTCAACCATCCCATCCCATAGTTACAATAATATCAGGTTCATCTCACATATACACTTTACCCTAACACTAAAATTACACATATTGACCTCCCTCCCTGTATGTACCAGATCAGACAACATGTGCTATTGACCTTTCCGTCTTTCTCTGTTCCCAGGATGAGGTAACTGCTGCCTACAGTCTCTCCTTTTCCCTGGACGGCAGCAAGATTTACGCTGGCTACAACAGAGCTATAAGAATCTTTGACACCGAGTACCCAGTTAGGTCGTGTAAGCTGGTGAAAACTTTCAGTAAGTTGCTTGGTCGTTTGTGGGAAATACAGCAATAGTTGTTGGTCACACTGGAGATTCAACAATAAGTTTGTTAGTTGTTGGTAACTGATTCAACTGTAAGTTTAATGGTCACAGTGGAGATACTGTAAGTTTATTGGTTGTTCTAAGAGATTCAACAAGTTTGTTAGTTATTTGTAGGGTATACAACAATAATTTGTTGGTTAATGTAGGATATACAACTGTAAGTTTGTTGCTTACTTGTAGGATATACGACAGTAAGTTTGTTGGTTACTGTAGGTCACTGTTGGTCACCTTATATGAAATGCCACGTTTATTTGTAAATTGTAATAGTAAATTAAAAATAAAATATGGAGTTTAGCTAGTCAGAAACAGATGAAGCTAACTGAACTAACTAAAGAAAACAAGAAACATATATTTTCTTTAACGTTCAACATATTTTAAATAATAATAAAATAATAAATTAACAATAACCGCGTTCAACATATTTTAAATAACAATAAAATAATAAATTAACAATAACCTCTACAAATATAACTTTTTATCTATCACTATCAGATACCCAGCGCAAAGATGGCCAGACTGGAATCATCTCATGTTTCGCACACAGCCCAGACAACAACGGCCTTTATGTGGCTGGCTCCTACAGCAGGCATAGTAAGTTTTTTTTTTATGTTAATTGTTGGAGATTCTAACTTAAATTCAGTTTATTGTACAATAAAATATTTTGCCTAGAGTTGTAAAGCCCTGCAGAAGAATAATTGAATAAAATAATTACATATAAGTACCCTATTCTACTGTAGAAAAACTTTCTCTAATGTGATTGTCCATTAAGTAGAAAATAATTAATTTGTTGGTTAAAAAAAATGCATGTGTTATATTGCATTTAATGATCAATAATGTCTTTAATTGAGGCTACAAAAAAAGATAAAGAAACAATTTAAGATTTGTGAATATATTAACTAAAAAAAAATGTTAATGCCACTATTTAAATGTAAATAAACCAAATGGGAAAAAAACTGTTTATGGTTCAATGAAATGTGAACAACTTTAAGAATAAAAATGTTAATGGCTCAAAACAATGTGCAGCTACAAGAATAAAAATGTCTTATTGATATCTCTGTGACAGTTGGGATGTACGACTCAACTTGCGACAAGCTGGTCTGTTTGATGCAGGGGCAACAGGGAGGTGTCACTCACATCATGTTCTCACCTGATGGCACCAAGCTCTACAGTGGGGGCAGAAAGGTAGTCTGGCTTGTGGGGGGGGGGGGGTCTGTTTGATGCATAGCAACAGGGAGGTGTCACTCACATCATGTTCTCACCTGATGGCACCAAGCTCTACAGTGGGGGCAGAAAGGTAGTCTGGCTTGTGGGGGGGGGGGGGTCTGTTTGATGCATAGCAACAGGGAGGTGTCACTCACATCATGTTCTCACCTGATGGCACCAAGCTCTACAGTGGGGGCAGAAAGGTAGTCTGGCTTGTGGGGGGGGGGGGGGGGTGGTCTGTTTGATGCAGGGGCAACAGGGAGGTGTCACTCACATCATGTTCTCACCTGATGGCACCAAGCTCTACAGTGGGGGCAGAAAGGTAGTCTGGCTTGTGGGGGGGGGGGTCTGTTTGATGCAGGGACAACAGGGAGGTGTCACTCACATCATGTTCTCACCTGATGGCACCAAGCTCTACAGTGGGGGCAGAAAGGTAGTCTGGCTTGTGGGGGGGGGGTGGTCTGTTTGATGCAGGGGCAACAGGGAGGTGTCACTCACATCATGTTCTCACCTGATGGCACCAAGCTCTACAGTGGGGGCAGAAAGGTAGTCTGGCTTGTGGGGGGGGGGGGTCTGTTTGATGCATAGCAACAGGGAGGTGTCACTCACATCATGTTCTCACCTGATGGCACCAAGCTCTACAGTGGGGGCAGAAAGGTAGTCTGGCTTGTGGGGGGGGGGGGGGTCTGTTTGATGCATAGCAACAGGGAGGTGTCACTCACATCATGTTCTCACCTGATGGCACCAAGCTCTACAGTGGGGGCAGAAAGGTAGTCTGGCTTGTGGGGGGGGGGGTGGTCTGTTTGATGCAGGGGCAACAGGGAGGTGTCACTCACATCATGTTCTCACCTGATGGCACCAAGCTCTACAGTGGGGGCAGAAAGGTAGTCTGGCTTGTGGGGGGGGGGGGGGTCTGTTTGATGCAGGGACAACAGGGAGGTGTCACTCACATCATGTTCTCACCTGATGGCACCAAGCTCTACAGTGGGGGCAGAAAGGTAGTCTGGCTTGTGGGGGGGGGGGGGGTGGTCTGTTTGATGCAGGGGCAACAGGGAGGTGTCACTCACATCATGTTCTCACCTGATGGCACCAAGCTCTACAGTGGGGGCAGAAAGGTAGTCTGGCTTGTGGGGGGGGGGGGTCTGTTTGATGCAGGGACAACAGGGAGGTGTCACTCACATCATGTTCTCACCTGATGGCTCCAAGCTCTACAGTGGGGGCAGAAAGGTAGTCTGGCTTGTGGGGGGGGGGGGTCTGTTTGATGCATAGCAACAGGGAGGTGTCACTCACATCATGTTCTCACCTGATGGCACCAAGCTCTACAGTGGGGGCAGAAAGGTAGTCTGGCTTGTGGGGGGGGGGTGGTCTGTTTGATGCAGGGGCAACAGGGAGGTGTCACTCACATCATGTTCTCACCTGATGGCACCAAGCTCTACAGTGGGGGCAGAAAGGTAGTCTGGCTTGTGGGGGGGGGGGGGTCTGTTTGATGCAGGGACAACAGGGAGGTGTCACTCACATCATGTTCTCACCTGATGGCACCAAGCTCTACAGTGGGGGCAGAAAGGTAGTCTGGCTTGTGGGGGGGGGGTGGTCTGTTTGATGCAGGGGCAACAGGGAGGTGTCACTCACATCATGTTCTCACCTGATGGCACCAAGCTCTACAGTGGGGGCAGAAAGGTAGTCTGGCTTGTGGGGGGGGGGTCTGTTTGATGCAGGGACAACAGGGAGGTGTCACTCACATCATGTTCTCACCTGATGGCTCCAAGCTCTACAGTGGGGGCAGAAAGGTAGTCTGGCTTGTGGGGGGGGGTGGTCTGTTTGATGCATAGCAACAGGGAGGTGTCACTCACATCATGTTCTCACCTGATGGCACCAAGCTCTACAGTGGGGGCAGAAAGGTAGTCTGGCTTGTGGGGGGGGGGGGGTGGTCTGTTTGATGCATAGCAACAGGGAGGTGTCACTCACATCATGTTCTCACCTGATGGCACCAAGCTCTACAGTGGGGGCAGAAAGGTAGTCTGGCTTGTGGGGGGGGGGGGGGGGGGTTGTTTGGGCTTCAGGGTTGTTTGTAGGGTTCTATTGCATTCAGGGTTGTTTGTAGGGTTATATGGTATACAGGCTTGTTTGTAGGGTTCTATGGTATTAAGAGCTGAATAGGGATCAGATTAAAACTGGGTAAACTTGAAGACTCTTTACCTAAACCTTTATAATTAGACTTGTGTATTTCCCCTGTAAGGATGCAGAGATCCTGTGTTGGGACACCAGGAACATGGGCAAAATTTTGTTCTCAGCACTGAGGGATGTCAAAACTAACCAGAGGATCTACTTCGATGTTTCACAGTAAGTTCTTCCCCTTGTTCATCTCTTAATGGTGTAGTACATTTGTAACAAATGTGTTAGTTATGGAGCTTTGTCTTTGCTGCATGATGTGGTAAACATTTAATAGCCAGCTGGTTTGAGTTTATGCTGAAACTTGTCTCTAAAAATTTAACAGCCAGCTGGTTTGAGTTTATGCTGAAACTTGTCTCTAAAAATGTAATAGCCAGCTGGTTTGAGTTTATGCTGAAACTTGTCTCTAAAAATGTAATAGCCAGCTGGTTTGAGTTTATGCTGAAACTTGTCTCTAAAAATGTAATAGCCAGCTGGTTTGAGTTTATGCTGAAACTTGTCTCTAAAAATTTAACAGCCAGCTGGTTTGAGTTTATGCTGAAACTTGTCTCTAAAAATGTAATAGCCAGCTGGTTTGAGTTTATGCTGAAACTTGTCTCTAAAAATGTAATAGCCAGCTGGTTTGAGTTTATGCTGAAACTTGTCTCTAAAAATGTAATAGCCAGCTGGTTTGAGTTTATGCTGAAACTTGTGTCCACAGATCAGGGCGCTACCTAATGTCAGGAAACCATGATGGTACTGTGGCATTCTGGGACACCTTGAGCTCTTTTGAGGAAATCAATGGAGATGTGTTTCTGAAGCCGTGCTCACAGTTTCTTGCTCATGGTGATTGTGTGAATGGTGTCAGGTAAGATTTTACTGCTCATGGTGATTGTGTGAATGGTGTCAGGTAAGGTATAGTTTCTCATTGTGTCAGTTAAGTAAGATATTATGTTTTTGTGTGTGTTAAGGTTACATAAAAACAAAATGTTGACTTTAAAATTCAGTTTCACTTACAGAAATGACCTTTATAATCTATAATATAAGCAGGCTGTGTCTGTCCGTCATCGCTATAGATTTTGGGACTATAAAAGTAAACTACGCACCATGCTGTGCTTTTCAGTGCACCGCAGTGTCTTATTATAAGTATTAGAGTAGGGTTTGTTTATATAACGACATAGAGCTATTTTATAATTTCCACTGTTTGTACAATTTTGCATAACGTAAAGAGAATATTAAATACATGCACATTGCTAAAACATATTAAAAGGATCAATGTCAAATATCGTTTTCGTTAATATTCCTAGAGAAAGTGGATACATTTTAATAACATAATAGCTGTAGGTTAGAAAAATCTAATTAAACTGTTTAGTAATTTTGCCAAGGGAGGTATTTTAAAAATAAATTGAACTCACGCTAAAAATGTGAATGCAAAATCTGCAAGACGGAATAATTGTTGGAATAATATAATTAGCAAAATGTGAATGCAAATTATGCAGACGTGTAAAAGTACATTATTGTTGGAATATTATAATTAGCATTGATTGATAAAAGGCTATTTTTTATTTATTTTATTCACTGAATGTAATGTTTACTACTTATAATTTTTAATCAACTATTAAGCACTATTATAGACGCGTCATCACGTTCATTCGGTGCGCAATGGTTTTAGTTATGAAACTTTATTGTAAATTTTTAAAATTTAAAGTACTGGGAAAAAATGCGTGAATGGATAAAGTGAAATATTGTAGGTAAAACACGGATATTTTAAATACTGCCTATTATTTATACTGTTTACTAATTATTATTCTATCTTTCGGTTTGCGGACAAGCTAGGGGTTTTATAGGAGAGGCGTAGCGCGGGGGGGGGGCATATGTCCCCGGGTGCCAACCTTAGGGGGCGCCAAAGTGGGTTGGAAAAAATTTGCGAGGGGGGGGGGTGGAAATTGAAAGTTTTAGGGCGGGGGGGGGGGGGGGGGACAGGGGTGCAAATCGAAAGTTTGAAAGGTGTGCAAATCACCGGAAAGGGCGCGATTTTGCGCTACGGGCTAGACTGTGAGCAATATGCCTTTATGATTGCATTTAAATTGTGTTTATGTTATGAGTGTTGTGTTTGTTTTTTCGTTTGTGTTTTTTTTTGCGTTCGTTTGTGTTGTGTTTAGTTTTGTCCTGTTCCCAAGTTGGCACATTTAAAAAAGATTTACCGTGGCGGAGCACGGGATGCAGCTAGTATTTTTATAAATGATTCATACATTTTATAAGGTAATTGATTTAATTATTAATCTAATTATAAAAATTGTAAGAATGAAATAAAATTTAAATAAAATCAACCCCATTACTCAATTATAATTAGCTACATTATAAAATTTTTTTTTTTTTCTTGCTAAATTTATCTGATGTAATAACTGGTATAATAGATTTAAATATTAATCTAGTTATATAAAAGGAGAAATAAGGAGAAATAAACTGAACAAAGCAACATCAGAAGTCTATTATAAAATGCTGCATTTGAAATTGTTTACATTTTATGTTGCTACTTTTAACAGATGTTATATTGAAACAAATGCTGGGCTGATTTATGAAGTATATTTTTTACCAGTTGTATATATGCCTTGATTATTTAATACTCTAGTTATTGATCTCTTGTAAATTTCCACTTCAGCTTTAACCAACACCACGATCTGATAGCTACAGCATCAGGCCAGAGATACTTTACTCTAGTTATTGATCTCTGTAAACTTTCCTCTTCAGCTTTAACCAACATCAGGATTTGATAGCTACAGCATCAGGCCAGAGACACTTTCAAGTCTTTGATGTCTCAGATAGTGATGACTCAGACCAGGAGATGGCTGAGCCGTGGGACTTCTCGCTCAAGATTTGGAGAATCCCTGTGTTGCCAGGCGATGTGAATGGAGACACCTCACACAGGTAGTTGGAACTTTCTGTATATATTTTTTATTTTTAGTTCCGACTCGTTTTTAACAAATATTTGCATTTGTTTTTCATATTGTTTGAAGATATTGCTTTGTTTCCTTGTTTCGCATTGATATGTCTGAGGCGAGAGGTGAAAAAAAAGACTTGTAGGTATTGCTGTTAGATCTTAGGATTAATTTCTATATCTGTTTTAAAATGTTTATTTCTGCTTCGTTGCACTGATTTATAAATTTTCTCATTGCATTTAAAAAGTGGTGTTTCACACATTTTGTTTGTTTCGAACACATGTCATAGTGTTAAAATAGTTCACTAAACACATTGGTACAAATCTAAACTGCATTAAATATACACTTCTAGTCACTGCTTCTTCCTTTATGAGAAGCAAACATTTTTTAGAAAGTCCATGACACAAAGAAATGTTCGATTTTAAAAAAAAAAACATTTAGACTAGAATTTTTTTTAAAGTTACTCTTATTACCTCCCTTGATTTGTGTTTATAAAATTTGAGTTGTCATTTTTGAAATTCAAACATTAAAATTTAATTTGTGCTAAAATTAGATTGTAAAATATGAACTTAATGTTACAAATTTATAAATATCTGCATTACTTTTAACTTACTCTTAAATTAATTATTTAGCTAAACAATCATTCTAATATGTTTATCAAACATTAATTATAAAAAATAAATTGTGGCCAAATTTAACTCTAGCAATAAATCTAAAAGTGTTTGCAATTTTTACATCAACAATGTTTTTCAGCGCTATAGTTCTATAAAATTTTACACTTTGCATTTCATCTGAGTAATACCAGTGAATATTGTATATATAAAATATGAGTGTTCATTTTCTTTTGCATTTTGTTTTTTGCATAACATCCTACTTTTTTAAAAAACTTCTTTTGGTTTTCACTTTTTTATACATTTAATATCAGTTGGTGCTTGTAACAATTTTTAATAAAGTTTCAACCATGTTAAGTCCCCAGATTTTAATGTTTATTATGAAGGAAATGCCATAGAGTATTTTTAAGAGAAATAACTTCTGGCAGTATTATTTTTTTTCAATGTCTTGTACAGATAATCAAATAAAACAGATATCTTGTACATATTTATGGAGAAATAATTAATTTTTTTAAACCTCTGTATTTGCATTATTATTTCAAATTTTTTTCTAAACCCTTTATGTTCTTTACTTTGTTTGCTCATATAATAAGCAACTATTTTGTGCTTTATTTTAAATGACTTGTATTTTCAAATAAATCAAAATAAATGAATTGTGATGTATAATATCAATATGATACTGTCGGCTTAACCACCCCACAGCTCAAATTTAACTGTGTTACATCTACGAAAATAAACTCTAAACCTTCTTCATAATAACTACATGGTATCTATAACATTAATTTTCTAGAATAATTTTGTGTTATATGTCTAAACTTTCTATTGTAACTTGTGGTACATTTGTAGGACCAATAGTTAGCCTCAACTCCAAACATCATCTGAAGTGTGTTACAACTAATACTTTAGTCCTTTAATACATGGTATCTATAACGATAACTTTCTATAATAATTTTGTGTTATATCTCTAAACTTTCTATAATAACTTTGTGGTACATTTGTAGGACCTATAGTTAGCCTCAACTCTAAACATCATCTGAAGTGTGTTATATCTAATGCTATGGTCCTTTAATAAGTTAATCTTGCTCTATCATAGAATCTTGTTGGTAATAAAACTCCTAGTATTGCAGTTTCTTTTAAAATGGATGAGCCAGGTCTTGAATGTAATCAAACATGCAACTTAAAGTGTGGTTCATTAAAATTTCATTAGTGGCTTAATTAGGTCTACTAAACTACAAACAAAAAGATAGTGTGCTATCTATCTGTGATAACATTTATTAGGTTGGTAGTGTACATAGATAACATAACATTACCCATTTCTAGCTTGTTCCTCATTGGGTTTACATAGATAACATAACATTACCCATTGATAGTTTGTTCCTCATTGGGTTTACATAGATAACATAACATCACCCATTTCTAGCTTGTTCCCTATTGGGTTTACATAGATAACATAACATCACCTATTTCTAGCTTGTTCCTCATTGAGTTTACATAGATAACATAACATCACCCATTTCTAGCTTGTTGTTCATTGGGTTTACATAGATAACATAACATTACCCATTTCTAGCTTGTTTCTCTTTAAATGAGTTCACTAAAAATGTGTCCTGTGAAATTTGTGACTCTCGACATATTTTATGAACTATTTTGTCTCAATATTGAAGTAAATCAAAATTGTAATTGTTCACTTACTTGTTATACCCCTCATCAAATTTGTATTTTTTGTTCAATATAAACAGCGTGACTGATTTAATGAATTAGTAACCATTCACCTTTATATTATCATTTAGGATAAAATGATCATAACACATTTTTTCTCCCCTCAAATTTTTGTTAACACTTACACATTGGTTCTAAATTGTATAATATTTGAATGTTTCCATTTGTTAAACTTCACAATAAAGTTGTACTGCCAATATTGTATATAGGGGTTTGTTGTGTTGATTGATTTAATGCATTGAATACAATGTTTATGTTTGGAGTTTAAAATGTCATGTGAGATCTAAGTGTGGAATTGCAACATTAAGCAAATAAAAATAAAAAGAGTGAAATAAAATGTGTGAATTTTTTTTCCTTGTAAACCAAAAAAATTCCATCTGAGAGTTATCTGAGTTAAAAAAACTTCTAAAGCCAAAACATTTTAACTTGTAGTTTCTGAAGTTATATCAGTATATTTGTTGCGTACAGAAGTTGTTTTTATTTCATTTTATATAATTACAAATGTAAAATTAATAAAACTCCCATTGATATTAGATATATTGTATTGACCATATATAATGCAGGCTTTTAGAAAAAAATGAAACTTAAAACAATAAGAATGTTAACAAGATATTTTATTGTGTAAAGCCAACTACAGCTAATTAAATATTTTAATTCCCTGTATTAAGCCAACACAACCTCATTAAACAAGATTTTTTTAATGAGCTCTGTAAGTTAAGCCAACTAAGCATAATTTGAATACAATATTGTAACTAGATGTGTTAAGCCAACAACACCTAATTAAATATTTAATTATCTTTCTTAAACCAACAAGCAGCTAAACATCAGTATTATAAATTCATCAAGGAAAATATTTTTGTCATGGAAATATAACACAAATAAAATACTAATTAAAAACATTATCAATTTATGTAAAACAAGTAAATATACACCCCAGAAAATCATGTATCTTTTATAAAAATAATACATTATTTAAATATTCAATGAGAAATTAAAAACTTAAACTGGTTACTAAATAATAAAACAATCTTTTCACAAAGAAAATTAAAAATACTTGCTTAAACAAGATTCATAATAAAATAACGAAAGTTAATTAACTCATGCATCTATTCATTAATGAATCTGTTATGCAGTCAAATTATATCAGTTGTAAATTGAGCTTTTCAAAGAAAAAAATATAACAGCATCATTGGAGCTTAATATTGCAATGAAATAGACTTCCTAAATAACAAATGAATTCGTTTAAAGCTATTTTATTTTTTAAACTGTTTTATTGTTTAACTACAGTACTACCTCCCTTAAGAAAGTCCATTCATTTCTTGTATTTGACTTAAGTCATGATTGGTAAAGTCAGAAGTATTATTTAATTAATATTGATATGTTAATGAAGTAAAAAAAAAATATTACTCCTGTGACCAGGTAATGTTTAAAACCAAAGAAATGTTACAAACTAAATTTATTTTTGACAGATTATTGACAGATTATAGACAGATTAACTAAAATAAAATGTGAAAGTGTAGAAATATTACAGACACAGTTAATTTTGTAAAAGTAAAATTGAATTATGTTCCTTAAGTGAAATATTTAATGGTGTTAAGCTGGACGCCTAACGAAAACGAAAGCTGGGAAGGTCATGGGAAATGTGGAGGCGCACGGTGGGGAAGCAGCTGGCAGAGGCAGGACTGTCATGGAGGACTGCCAGGAAAGTTACTGGAGACCAACAAAAGTGGAGGGAGCTTGGGAACTTAAGGAAAAGATGGTCTGACATATTTAAGCAATCTAATTTCTTCTTAAAAAAAAATAGCATCATTTTTCAAAACATTAACTTTGCATTTAAAACATTTGTGAGGAGATATTTAAATAATTATTGTGCCGTACGTACATTGGGGCAAGTACATTGGGGCACTATCGTATTAACAAAATATTTGACCTAATAAGATATGCTAATACTTTGTTGTACAGTTTTTACAATAATTGGCTGATTAGAAAAAAAGCCTACATTAAAGACAAGATTTTAAAAAGACAGTGAGCCTTGTAAAACCAACTTAAATTGCCTGATTTATTTTTTGTATCATGCACTAATCAATTTTAGATACCTAAAACAAATCCTTAAAAAACTCAGTTTTCATTTTTATGTAAATGTAGTAATGTTTTATATTAAAACTTGTTAAATGTACATTATTTACACATGTAAATTTTTAAACATTATTTACACAATATGAGATGTTAATTGTCTCCTTTACGTTTATTAAAAAGAAAAATTATTTTAAAAAATCCTTAAAGAACCCACTTATTTTTTGAGGACTTCAACAGTTTTTCTGTCATTGGTCTTAAATTTTAATTGAAAATTATGATTTCACAATTTGTTGAACTTTTATTCCAAAAATAACAAAATAAAAATTACATTTGAATTTAATGTTCAGGTTAAGACAGTTTATCCTGAATAGGTTACAATTATTAATACTTACCTAATACACACATGAATTGAAGTATCTTCATAATACAAATTTAAAAGAGATTTTTGGAATATATTTTTTTCTTATATAAATATGAAATAAAAAGTATATGTCAACAAATCTTGTATGAGAAAAAAAAATGCAAATTTGAATAACACAATATAGAATTAACAAGCAAATATTATTAGTCCAACAATTAACAAAACTGTGCTTTACAAATCCAATTAAGTGCAAGAATCAACAAACATTAGTACCCTGTCATATATACACTGTCATATATACATCAACTTGACCCGTTTCTTTCAACAACTATTGGATGAGCCTGGTTGGGCTTAGCCAATGAAATAACATCTAAGCTGGAACATTCTTGTGCAGGAGAATAACTTTAAACTGTGAGTTCAGGTTGTCAGCAAGCCGGACCACTGTGTTGGGCTCAAACGTCCTCAACTGGAGCTGGTCATCTGCTTTCATTTCAACTACGCCTGGAGATAATTGTTGGTAAAATACATGGATGGATAAGGAATTCAGATAATGGTCAGGAATAAAAAAAGGTAATAATTCAGAAAATGTAGATGAATCAAAATAAAAAAACCTATATATATATGTATATATATATATATATATATATATATATATATATATATATATATATATATATATATATATATATATATATATATATATATATATATATATATATATATATATATATATATATATATATGTGTGTGTGTATATATATATATGTGTGTGTATATATATATATATATATATATATATATATATATATATATATATATATATATATATATATATATATATATATATATATATATATATATATATATATATATATGTGTGTGTGTATATATATATATATATATATATATATATATATATATATATATATATATATATATATATATATATATATTTATTTATATTTATATATACTCTATATATTGTGTGTGTTTATTAACAAATATCAAATATAAATAAATATCCTTAAAGAGTTGATACAAAAATAAAGTTTTCTTTCGATGGTAAAGTTCCCGGATTGTCTAAGTGTTCAGACCTATGGCCAGCCGCCTATACTTTCCCTAAAGAGCCATGGGTACCCATTATAGTTGGGTGGACTCAGGAAATGCTCCACAGACATGAAACCAGATTTGAACTTGAGACTTTTGGGTTAGTATTCATATGATCTTTAAAAAGACTCACCGTCTATTACACAAAGTCTAAATTTAGATGAGCCCTCATTATTGGTCAGCGTGAAGCCGCCCCTGAGACATGCAAGCATTGTTTGGTTGTTGACAACAACTCCCAGGGAGTGGGTTTCTGTCTCATCCACCATCAACACCTTCATTAATTGATTAATTAATTAATTACAGAAAGGTTAAGTTGGGATTTCCATCTTCATATTCAGAGAAATTAAATATGCCCCACCCCTTCTTAACATAGAAATTATAGTTAGAGTAAAATATAATTCATATAATGATACAAATATCAGACTATCATCAACAACATGGATGTGATACTATAATCATCAACAGGGATCAGACTTTCTTCCAGGCATCATTTTGGGGGGAGGGGGGTGGTCTGCCCCCCAGCACCACCAAAGAAAGTCTACCCCCCCCCCCCCCCCCCCCTCGAACAAAATGGAATTTGTAGAGAAAACATACTTTTACCAGTGTCTGCAGTATTTACAGTTCACACTTCTGTATTTCAAAAAGTAATGTTAGAGACTTTTTAGACGTAATTTAGCGTTTTTTGAATCGCTCTTAGTGTAAGTTGAGTTAATTTTTAAAAGCATGATGTCACTTATGGATACCCCCTCCCCGCTTGTCCCAGTTCGTCCTTAATTTCACACACCATAAACACAAATCATTAATTCAAAATAAACATGGACTCACCTTGAAATGAATCAAATAGACACCCGGTTCCTTAACTTTAAAAATTCCATTTTTTTGATCGGATATTTCAACCAATGGCTGCATACTTTTCCGTTTCCTCTTCTTGTGGTTTGAAGGACTACCCTCTGAGCGTGCTACGTAAAAAGCCAGGGGCGAATCTGCAGATAGAATACGACCACTTCAAATCTCAACTTCTTTTTAAAATAGATTTTATGTAAATAGTGCTGCGAATAATGCTCATATTTGGCTTCGAATTCGTTGGCCTAACACCATCAGGAATGAAGTACAATTGCATTGGGTAAATACACTGCCAGCTGAAGAAAAGATCCTCGAGAGAAAATGGAGACAGGCCCTCACTTGGAATCCACAGGGCAAATAAAAAAGAGGCCGACCATCGACCAAGGAGGACCTGAAGACGTGACTTGGAACAGTGGCGTAGCGAGGTCAGGTGTCACCCGGTGCGGCACTTAATGGTGTCACAGGAGTAGCGACCCTTCCCGGGACAAACTTTCAAATGTTCGATTTGCACCCCCCCCCCCTTAAACTTTTGACTTTGAACTCCCCCTCAAGATTTTCTCTATATATTTTGCTATTTTTCGCCTTGGTGTCACCCCCTAAATGGTGTCACCCGGTCCGCCCCCCCCGCCCCCCCCCCCCCTCGCTACGCCTCTGACTTGGAATAAGACACGAAGAGAATTGGATACACATGGTGACATTTGGAGAGGCTAGCCCAGGATAGAGATGTCACAGGAGAACGTCTGGCTAACCTAATCTAACCTAACTTAACCTAGCCTAGCCTAGCCTAACCTAACCCAGCCCAGCCCAACCTAACCTAACATAACCTAGCCTAGCCTAGCCTAACCTAACCCAGCCCAGCCCAACCTAACCTAACATAACCTAGCCTAGCCTAGCCTAACCTAACCCAGCCCAGCCCAACCTAACCTAACATAACCTAGCCTAACCTAGCCTAGCCTAACCTAGCCTAACCTAACCTAACCTAACCTAGCCTAGCCTAAACTAACCTAGCCTAGCCTAACCTAACCAAACCTAACCTAGCCTAACCTAACCTAACCTAACCTAACCTAACCTAACCTAACCTAACCTAACCTAACCTAACCTAACATAACCTAACCTCTACATCAGAAGAGAGTCTACTAGTAGTGACAGTTACGTAAGAAACACACTGTCCGAACCAAAGACATCGATCTCCAGAAGAAAACTGAGACTAGTAACGTGGCACAGTTCAGCGTGGTGTTGCTGAACAAAGTCTGTGGGATTTAAATGTATTAATATGATACATGGTAAGACCAAAACATTAACAGATGATGTTCATGCCAAAAACATTAACACTTGATGTTTAAGCCAAAACATTAAAAGATGATGTTCAAGCCAAAAACATTAACACGTGATGTTCAAGCCAAAATCATTAACACATGATGTTTAACCCAAAAACATTAACAGATGATGTTCAAGCCAAAAACATTAGCACATGATGTTTAAGCCAAAAACATTAACAGATGATGTTTAAGCCAAAAACATGAACTGATGATGTTCAAGCCAAACACCTTAACAGTTGATGTTTTAGTCAAGCTTAAAAAAAACAACATCTTAACTGATGATGTTTAAGCCAAACACCTTAACTGATGATGTTTAAGCCAAAGCGATTTATTGATTGTAAACAGATAATAGGTGTTAGTCGGAGTTGGTAATACATGTAAAAAGTAAATTAACAGCTCGTGGTGGGGGGAGGTTGATTTGTTTTTGGCGGTGGAGGGGGGGGGGGGTTATTTGCTTAGGGCGGGGATGGGGGGCGGGGATCACTTGAAGAGAACTGAAAAGAAAATTGGCTCTAATACATCACCACAAAAAGTAAATTAACAGAGCTGGTTACAGCTCCTTTGTAGACATTCTCCTATATAAAGATTATGTAATCTTAACAAAAACAACACCTATACAATAGACAAAGAGATCAAAATGGGAGGAGTTAAAAAAAAAAAACAACTAGTCACCTGCTTGAGCATACGTCAGGGTACGGTTCCTACATGCTTTTGGACGAGTCGGCCATCTTTCGTCTTCAAAGCATTCTAAAAATAGTTTCATAGGAAGCTTTAAATAAGGATCTTGTTAAATTATTTACCTCGAGACTCTGATTTACAGATGTTTAAAATTTATGTAGACTAGACTATGAGCTCGAAATACGAACTATGCTTCGAGATAAGAATACTATTCCAAAAAAAAAAAAAAACCAACAGTTTAGTAATTGGAAAAATTACATTAATTTAATGACTAATAAATTAATTATTTAAAAGACAAAAGTGCTAAATGTAAAACTACTTACCTTGTTTGGTAAAATTAGTTTTGTAGTCATACCAGTCTTTAAAAAAATTAACTTCAAACTCCGACGACTGAAGCTGAGAAGACAAAGGATGGGATGGACTTTTAAATCAATTTTTTTCTGAACCTCGGGGTCCGAACGTCTCGGGCTCCGAACGTTCGTTTTATTTTAGTGAACTAAGTAAGTCAGTAACAAAGGATTCAAACTCAGTGCACATGCATGAAGTGTTATTGCATTTTTATCAGCCATACATTTACATATATTTAAAGGTGTAGCCTATTCAATTTTGATTTTAAAAACATTATTAACTGAATAAATATTGGTGAATGTTAAAGAGTTTAAGCTGAATAATTAAAAAAATAATTTAAAGTTAACATAAAAGAGATATGAGAAAATCAATACTTACGTCCGTAGCTAAGGAGAAGATAAAAAGATACAAAACTTAAAAAACTATCGAAATAATTTTTGTTTAAATATTTAACACAAACTTTATTTCAAATACCGAACTAAGTTAATTATTTTGAATCGACAACTGAAAAAAATAACACGCAATTAAAATAACACCAGGTAGAACATAAATTTTTGTTTGTCTGAAGCCATTAAATAACCACACGCCTTTAATGCCGGGTACCACTTAAAACTGAGTTAGCTCATAACGTTATAGAGATATTGGTGTGATAAGAGTTAAACCTAGTATTAACGTTATTAAACACACAGTCATACAAGCTAACTGACTAGCTAGAAAAGTTAATGCATACTACACTTTATTTATTTCATTTTATACACTAATTGTTACATCTATGCTACCTTTTTCTGAAGCTGCGTTTTTCTTTCCTGACTTGTTTTGTTTCTTTTTAGCCTCGCCTTCCGAATCGTTCTTGTTTTTAGAATCTTTTGCTTGCCGAGCTTGGCGTGAGAGAGCTCTTCCATCGTCTGAGAAACTTGACGGGACATATCTCAGTGTATCGAGTTGCAGATCAGCATCAGCTTCGCCTGTAAGGCTTTCTGCGATGTTCGAGAATTCCACCTACAAATATGATTCGCTGTATTTTTAGGCTAAAGATGTATTTTTATGTAGCACATTGATAAAATACGTTTTTTAAGAAGCACGTTATTGTAATATATATTTTTGTAAAGCACGCTAATAAAGTAATAACATAAGTGTTTATATGTAACACGTTGATAAAATACTTATTATTAGTGCAATTGTTGATACTATTCGTATTACAAAGGTAGATGAGTAATAATTGCACTCATTGATAAAATAAAGGGAGACGTTGATAACATAATTGTTATAATGGTCAATAAAATACCTATTACAGAGGTAAAAAGTTCCCTATTCGAAGCTGACGGTCCATAGGGCAAGTGAGGTACAGTTCAACTGCTTCTGTGACCTCGGCATATGAAGGTCAGCACTATGCCGAGCCGCTTTTGCTTTCCCTAACGTGAGATGGGTACCCATCAAAGCTGGGTAGACTCATGGGCGTTGTACTGATTGGAACCCGGATTCGAACTCGAGATTTAAGTGTTAGCAGTCTAGCGCTCTACCGCTAGGCCATGCTGTCCCACAATTATAATAATACACGGCGACAAAATACGCGCTACAATGGTACCAATTGGCAATCGACGAATGTGTATGCTGCCTGTTTTGAAAACATTTCCCACTAAAGAAAGCTGAGATATGGCTGCAGCTATTCAATTTGGAAATCTTTCACATTTTCTTCGCCATTTTAAAGTACAGCACCACAATGAAATTTGTTGGTACCACAAATACCACATGAGGGATACTACAATTCTTTAAATCTATAAATGAAGTCACGCTCTTCGAGAATGGGGTGGGGGTGTGGAATAGGGGGGTTGCTAAGACATTTTAAGGTCACACTTTCGTAAATATTTTTTTTTTGCCGTGTCGCAAAAAACGAAATTTGAAAAGATTGTAATTAAAACATTTTATTCTTTAAAAAAGTGTTGTGTTATTTACATGACCAAATGTACACAAAACACTATGAATAAAAAAAAACTATGTCAACAATAGTGGTTGTATCCCTTTCATGGCTGATGCCATTTGTGTTCTGGTGTTTGGCAAAGAAAAATGAACAGAGAAAGGTAGGGATGGAGCGGGGTGAATGAATGGATTGAAGGATGGATTGTAAATGGATGGATTGAAGATGGATTGTGAATGGATGGATTGAAGGATGGATTGTGAATGAATGGATTGAAGGTTGGATTGTGAATGGCGGGATTGAAGGATGGATTGTGAATGGATGTGCTGAGACATAAAGATTGAATGATTGAATCATCATCATCTTTTCCTATTTGTGACCAAGACACGTGGGGCAGTGGGTTGGGCGATACAGGATAAATAAATGGATGGTGGATAAGTGGATAGATAGATGGACACATGCATAGACAGAAGGATGGCAACTAGATATATAAATTGAAATGTGGGTGGAAGAATGGGTATATAAATAATAAGTGACGGTATATATATATATATATATATATATATATATATATATATATATATATATATATATATATATATATATATATATATATATATATATATATATATATGTGTGTGTGTGTGTGTGTGTATACTGTCAAGAAATTGGTAGGTGGAAAAATGTTTCTGTGGCGGCCACATGTGTCCATGTGTCTTGGACACAACACGGAAAAGATGTGCGTGTATTTGAGAGTATATTTAATCCTTAATTTATTCACATGACCTTTCGAACTTACCATTTTAACCCCAAACAGATTCTCCCTCCACAGCCGGTCGACCGTTTCCTCTAGAGCCGTGATTTGCCGGTAAATATGTACAGTCAACACGGCCAGTACTAGAACCGTGAGTAGCAGCACCAACGTCAACACCGGGTTCAACTTCCGGCATGTGCGAGATATCTTCCGGCTTTTCGCCTTTTGGAATGTCCGAAATCCAGCTAGGTCCGTAGAATTGAGCACAGCTACGGCGGTGGGATTCCTCATAGAGTTTTTCAGAAAGGGACTTTCAGATTCCTTCTTGGAATAAATGTAATCCTGAACTTTGTTTCCGCATTTTGCGGTGGTTGTGATCGAATCCATTTCAGACAAGTCCCCGGATCTACACGCGGGGATATTGTGCGTGTCCTTGTAAGCCCTAAGGGATCTATTATCCAAAAACGACGCCATTATGCAAATTATTTGTGTGTGTGTAGAACGTTCTGGAATTGATCAAAGAGATTGGTGAACTAGCGATCAAACACAACGGTGTCACAGAGGTTCTCAAGATGTTAGTCACATTTTTGTGAATGGCTTTGGAGATGAGTAGATAAAAACCTTGCTGTCTACGTCATCGAACTGTGTGCACAACGTCACATCAGAACGTTCGGTCTATGGTGTCTATAACGCTGTATTGATGAGCTGTAGAAATAAACAATCAGAGGCTAAACATCAGAGGCGAAAATTGTGTCAGATATACATCAGGCTAAAATTTTGTCAGATTTACATCAGGCTAAAATTTTGTCAGATTTACATCAGGCTAAAATTGTGTCAGATATATATCAGAGGCTAAAATTGTGTCAGATTTACATCAGGCTAAAATTGTGTCAGATTTACATCAGGCTAAAATTTTGTCAGATTTACATCAGGCTAAAATTGTGTCAGATATATATCAGAGGCTAAAATTGTGTCAGATTTACATCAGGCTAAAATTGTGTCAGATTTACATCAGGCTAAAATTTTGTCAGATTTACATCAGGCTAAAATTGTGTCAGATATACATCTGGCTAAAATTGTGTCACTTAGATATACATCTGGCTAAAATTGTGTCACTTAGATATACATCTGGCTAAAATTGTGTCAGTTAGATTTACATCAGGCTATAATTGTGACAAGATATATATCAGGCTAAAATTGTGACGGTTAGATATACATCAGGCTAAAATTGTGTCAGCTAGATTTACATCAGGCTAAAATTGTGTCAGTTAGATTTACATCAGGCTATAATTGTGACAGTTAGATATATATCAGGCTAAAATTGTGACAGTTAGATATACATCAGGCTAAAATTGTGTCAGTTAGATTTACATCAGGCTAAAATTGTGTCAGTTAGATTTACATCAGGCTAACATTGTGTCAGTTAGATTTACATCAGGCTATAATTGTGACAGTTAGATATATATCAGGCTAAAATTGTGACAGTTAGATATACATCAGGCTAAAATTGTGTCAGTTAGATATACATCTGGCTAAAATTGTATCAGAGATAGATGACGGCTGTAGACCTAAAGCTAAAATATTATTATGTATATATATATATATATATATATATATATATATATATATATATATATATATATATATATATATATATATATACATATAAATATAACATAATAATATATATAGAGAGAGAGCGAGAGCCGTTGGGTCATTATACAAATAGCTTTGAGAACCTTTGAACTCTGGGGTTAAAGATGGCCGACTTTGTCCGTGTTGTTCTTGGTAAACAGATAAAATATCATATTTTTCTGCGTCGTGTGAAAGTTCAAAGGTCAAGAGGGGCTAATACAAGTATTCTTTTTAAATTGGTCATTCTCAGCGAAGTTTAAAAATGTATACTGCTAAAGACGACACGGATAAGGAAGAGGTTATAAATTGTACAAGTGTCATTTTTTAATTGCACAATGCAAGTCATTTATCCATCCATTTATATCCGTAGAGCGTGAAAAACAACAAGCATAACCAAAGCATAAAAATGAGTTCTCATCCTTACACATATATACACCCGCACAGCTAGCTATTACCCTAAACCTAGAGCCGATTATAGGCTAGAATCGAACTGCTGATTGCTAAAACATTATAGAACTGCTCAGCACCAGTGTTTCTTCCAGACTTTTTTCTCCGGGGGGGCACTTGAAATCTTCGGGGGGGCGGTAAACTTTCTTCGGGGGGGCGGACACTGTTAAAAGTATATATTTTCTATATAAATTATATACATTTCATTTCGTTCGGGGGGGCGGTAAAAAATTTTCGGGGGGGCTTCGCCCCCCCGAAGAGATGCCTGGAAGAAACTCTGCTCAGCACAATTATTCAACATCACATTATCTTCAACTTATTAACTAATTAAGTATAAGTCTCGTGTTAAAAGATTAAATAATCAAGCCTTATTAAACTAGCAACACAGTTCTAAAATTAGAACTCAATTCACATTTTTTTTTCCGAGGAAAAATTAACTAAACTGTAACTCCTGCTAGTATTGTTGTGGTTATTCCTCTTTGTTCAATCTTTGCATTGGCTTTTTTCCCCCATGTTATATCTTAGTGCTTACAGTGAAATATGTACGTTTTTTTGTTTTAATGCATGGGTAGGTATGTTTTCTTTTAGCATAAAGATTATTAAATGATGGTTAGCTGTTTAACTAGAATAGTCCAGCACGATCAGAGAATAATGAAGCATTGTATATAATGACAACATATTGTAAGCGTATAGTGTCTATAATGTTTTATAACAAAATGGTTAAAAATGAACAATGTTGGATGTGTGTGTGTGGGGGGGGGGGTGGAGGAATGGAAGAGGGGTGGGGGTTAAAACTGTAAAATTGGAGTTTTGTGACATTTTAAATTTTAAAATTGAAAACGGCAACTCAGCTACTTTTTTGGGAGGGGAGGTCTCTTAGACAGGCTGAGTCTGCGACCCCCCCCCCCCCTCGCAACACCCCGTGTCTACGCCCCTGCCAGTGTTTATGACTGGTAATGCTTGTACTGATACCCGTTTATCGCGTACTGTTTATCAATATCAACGTAACCTAATCAGTATGTTGTGTGGCCACTGAACCGTATCACATCGTAAATCCACAGATTTAAATCCCAGCCCCTTTAAAAATACATTTCTAAATGTCTTTTTCATTAAAAGTATCTTTGAATATAGTTAACGCGTTTAATAACAAAAGAAGCTACGCAAAAAATAAAAAAAGAAAACAAAAATAAATTAATCAAACGTCAAAGAGGTAGTACATGACCTACCTGTTTGTTCCTCAGTCGTAAACGACTTCCACAACAAACTGCGCGGGGAAGTGTCGCCTCGTTCATTGCGCAAGCCCGCCGCCAATCGCATTTATCGAAACTGAAACCAAAGCAGTAGACGCGTTGAGTTCGCTACCAGTTTTATTACCGGCAGTGGCGCAATAAAAAATGATGAACTACCTAAATACAAGTTGAACAAGACTACTTTGGCCTAACTTCCTCGTAAAATACTTAGGCAAAAAACCCATCAAGGATTTTTTCTATTTTTGCCCCCCAGTTCCGCCAGTTTCTAGTGTCTACTAGCCATTCTTATAAACCCAAGGTGAAGGCCGTACGGTGACGTATTTACTTGGAAACGTGTCACCAGTGTGTGTACGAACATATGGTGTCTTATGCCCTGGGGGTTATAAATAAACACACCATTCGAAAACATTGAAGCACAGAACAGACTAGCGACAGAAAAGGAGGGGGGGGGGGATAGAATACATTAAATGACGCATAGGTGGTTTTTAAAGTGACGATTGGGGGTTGGTGCGTTGGCGGGGGGGGGGGGGGGGAATGGGTACCGCCTCATGATTTAGTGAAATAAATAATAACGAGCCGACCCGCGGCGTATCATACGCCGCTATTTAGTTGTTTTATTTTCTACTTTTCAGTTGGTCGTTAAGGACGATAACCCCCCCGCCCACCCTCATATCCCTTAACCCCTACCCTACACCCCCCCCCCCCGTGAAAGCAACCTCCTCTTAATTACCTCCCCTAAGTTTAAAATAGTTTCAAACTAAATTATCTGCCCCTAATAGGAGTCACTAAACCCAGCTCTATGTTTATATACATTTAGCGTAAACCACAGCTCACCAGACCATGTGGGGGTGGGGGAGGTTTCATTTATGCCTAGTGAAGAAGAGGTGGGACTGCAAGACACGCTTTCTAGCGTCTCCCAGAAGAGAATTATATATATATAGATGTACCTGTCTTATAGTTTTGTAGGTATGGATGGACATCGGAAGAGACACAGAGAACTAGTAACCGACCCCCCACCCCCACCAGACTTTAAATGCTAGATCCAGTTAGGGGGTCATCCATAAATGACGTCACGCTTTTTTGACGATTTGCACTTCCTTCCCCTCCGTCACACATCGTCACAAAAATCCACCCCTCCCCTAAACTGATGCCACACCTCAGCCTACACCCCCCCCTCCAAATTGCAGTTGAATTTTTCTTGAAATATCGATATTTTTCCAAAATCTTATCTGAACTCAGTCAACGTAGAGTACTTTAATCAATTCCTATTACAATATATTAAAACAGTTTTCTTAAACACGAAATAACGGCTGACACTCGTTTTATAACATTGTTTTTATAATGCAAAAGTATGACGTCACACCATCTGACCCCCCCTCCTTCTCCTCGTCACACACCGTCACAAAATTACGGACCCCACCTCCCCCACTACAAGTGTGACGTTATTTATGGACGACCCACTTAAGGATGTACACGATATGTCTGTTTTTTTTTTATTTGTCTAGATGGCGCAGATGTTTCTCTTTCGCTGTACTGTGGCTGAGGACAGTGGCGTAGCGAGGTCGGGTGTCACCCGGTGCGGCACTTAATGGTGTCACCCCCCCCCCCCCCCAGAGGCATAGAGACCCTTCCCAGGGACAAACTTTCAAATTTTCGATTTGCACCCCCCCCCCCTCAAACTTTTGATTTGCACCCCCCTCGAGTTTTTCTCTATATATTTTGCTATTTTTTGCTTTGGTGTCACCCCCCTAAATGGTGTCACCCGGTGCGGTCCGCACCCCTCGCTACGCCCCTGGCTGAGGATAATGTAAAAGGTCGAGGTCTTGTTTGGGGTACTAGACTTACCTTAATTAACACGTGCACACCTTCCTGGTGCACAAAAGCTGTGCTAATTTTAACTACAGGCCTGTTCTGCAGCCGTGGCTGGTCGCATATCGATTCTTGTACCCGGTCCAAAAATCCTATCTCTATCATATCACATCTAACGATACCCGAACAGCTATATCGTCAGAGTTTCTTCCCCCCCCCCCCCCCGAAGAAAGTCTACCCCCCCCCCCAACGAGATGGAATTTAAATAGTAAACATATACTTTTACTAGTGCCCGGCCCCCCCCCCTCGAAATTGTAGACCCCCCCGAAAATATCAAGTTCCCCCCCCCCCCCCGGAGAAAAAATTCTGGAAGAAACACTGTATACGGTAACTCATATACACGAATCCATAACCTTTAAACCGAACCTAGATCTAAATCTAACCTTGTATATTAATGTTAAGGTTAATGCTCAAGTTACTAGAGTTACGATCAAAGAAAGTTTAATATAGTTAACCCAGAGATTAGTATGTCTAAGTACACATTTTAGATAGACACCACGATTACAAGGGGAGGCGACACACTGGCTACAGCGTACACTGTGACCTATATAATCGCTGGAGGATTTTCCGAGAAAATGAAAATCTATAGAGTAGCCGTGTGTCGTTAGTTAAGTAGAGAAGTTAAAGTAGGTTGTGTGTGTTAAAATGTGTGTTTTTTTCTGCTGTATGTATGAGGCTGGTTTTAGACCAGCAAAGATCTGATGTTGGTTCATCAAAGATGTTGGTCCAGCAAAGATGTTGGTCCAGCAAATATAAGACGTTGAACCATCAAAGATGCTGGTCCAGCAAAGATGTTGGTCCAGCAAAGATGTTGGTCCAGCAAAGATGTTGGACCATAAAAAATGTTGGTCCAGCAAAGATGTTGGTCCAGCAAAGATGTTGGACCATCAAAGATTTTTGGTCCAGAAAAGATGTTGGTCCAGCAAAGATGTTGGTCCAGCAAAGATGTTGGTCCAGCAAAGATAAGATGTTGGACCATCAAAGATTTTTGGTCCAGCAAAGATGTTGGTCCAGCAAAATTGTTGGTCCAGCAAAGATGTTGAACCAGCAAAGATGTTGGTCCAGCAAAGATGTTGGTCCAGCAAAGATGTTGGACCATCAAAGATGTTGATCCAGCAAAGATGTTGGTCCAGCAAAGATGTTGGTCCAGCAAAGATGTTGGTTCATCAAAGATGTTGGTCCAGCAAAGATGTTGGTCCAGCAAAGATGTTGGTCCAGCAAAGATGTTGGTCCAGCAAAGTAGTTGGTCCAGCAAAGATGTTGGTCCAGCAAAGATAAAATGTTGGTTCATCAAAGATGTTGGTCCAGGAAAGATGTGGGACCAGCAAAGATGTTGGTCCAGCAAAGATGTTGGACCATCAAAGATGTTGGTCCAGCAAAGATGTTGGTCCAGCAAAGATGTTGGTCCAGCAAAGATAAGATATTGGACCATCAAAGATGTTGGACCAGCAAAGATGTTGGGCCATCAAAAATGTTGATCCAGCAAAGATGTTGGTCCAGCAAAGTTAAGATGTTGGACCATCAAAGATGTTTGACCAGCAAAGATGTTGATCCAGCAAAGATGTTGAACCATCAAAGATGTTGGTCCAGCAAATATGTTGAACCATCAAAGATGTTGTTCCAGCAAAGATGATGGACTAGCACAGATCAGATGTTGGACCGATTAGTATATAGAATACATTTTTTTCGTATCAGACAAGTAATAATTTACAGCGTCAGTTTGCTTTCTCTTTAGTATAACTTACAGTTTTCATCATCGGCGTGTGAGGACTGGTACAGATTTACAATAGTAATACTCCTTTCTGACCTGTACTATAATCAATTTTATTCTTAAATAAACCGGTAGTGATCTCCCCTAAACTTTCTCGAATATTCTTATATAAAACAACAGGGAATGGTAACTGGGGATATAGTTATGATTTTTAATCCATTTTAAATACTGAAACTTTTAAAAATAGAATAGAATCTCAGTAAAAAACAATTGCGCACCAAGCGAACGCCTAATAAAGGTGTGTATAATAGTGCGCAATAGTATTAGTATTTAATAAATTTACATTAGTTTTTTGAGAAATCGGAAGTAGCGTAAATTACTACTTCCGGTCAACGGAAATTACTCAAAATTTAACAGAAGGTAGAGAATTAGATCTTTTACTTACATGTGAAATTTCATTTATCTATCTGAAATAGTACTCAAGTTATAGGCTTTTGAAAAATTCAAAGTAGAAAAAGTACCACTTCCGGTTGTCGGAAATCTCTCAAAAGTTGATACGGATCTACGATTTTGATAAAATACTTATATATGAAATTTCATCAACCTAGCTGTAACGGTACTCAAGTTATCGTGTTTACACACGGACAGACACACACACAGACAGACACACACACACACAGACATACGGACAAGATTGCAAAATTATGTTTTTTCCGTATCAGTGAGGTGTAAAACGTCGAGATTTGTAAAAATCTCGATTTTTTTTTTTTTGCACGATTACAATACTTTCTCTATACTACGTATATACGAGAAAGTAAAAACCTGAAAGTTGAAATAAATCTTGAATCAACCGGTAATTTTTAAACAACTATCTTGTTTGGTTTTACATTAAAAAAAAACTTTTACTTGTGTGTGCTTGTGTAGTGTGTGTGTGTGTGTGTGTGTGTGTGTGTGTGTGTGTGTGTGTGTGTAGTGCGTGTTTGTAACATGGTTTTAAACATTACCAAAGAGATCCAAAATGTTTCGAGACTCAAAATGTTGTACAATGTAATTGAAAAAATAATTCAGAACAAATTATGTTCCGATTTTTTGCGAACACAAACATTGGTAATTATCTTTTTTTAAATAAAATGCAAAGATGATAAAGTTAATAGTGAATAAAAAATGGTTTATAAAGAGTATAAAAAGACAAATGGCATTTAAAAATATTTTCCTAGGAAAATTTGTTTTTATATTTAAAAGAAACACATAAATCCTATACAGTGTCACAAATGGGGTTAGATAACTTCACTGTTTTACACGAAATTCGAACAGGAAGTTTTCTTTATTTTTGGTTACCTCCCCTGACATCCTGTTTCATTCAAGAGGTGTTACTAGTCTTAATGCAGAACGTTTTTAGCTCCTTACGCGGAAAAATTCAGCTACAAGTGAATCTTAATCGGAAAACTATCCTAGCTTAAAAAAACCCACCTTTTCTTTTTTTTTTATAATTATAAAAGCCCACTTACTAAAAGTGACATTTGCCTTTAACTTTTTCATTCAGCTGACCATTCACCAAAACTGAAATCTTAATGCCATTATCATCATCCTCTTTTCCCTTTTGTACTCACGCTCAGCATGCTGTTGTCATGCCGTGACGTCATCCGTGTCATCTTAGTCACCTTGTGAACCCGGACCTGACGTCACAAGACCTGGCCCTAACCTTAGCCTAAACCTACCCCTAACCCAGGGGCGTCGCTAGGTCGGGTGTCACCCGGTGCGGCATATCGTGGTGTCACCACCCAAGAAACAGTTTATATACATCCATGAATATATATATATATATATATATATATATATATATATATATATATATATATATATATATATATATATATAGTGTATGTGTGTGTGTTTTCTATATAGTTAGCACGTTTACGTCACGGTGTCACCCCCACCCCCTTGTAATAGTTGTTGATTTGACTTAAAATACTATTTAACTTAAATTAATCATTAATGGAACTGGCAAAAAGGCATTTTTCTTCTGTACATTTTGCAATATTTTGCCTTGGTGTCACCCCCACCCCCTAAATGAAGTGGTTTAGCATGCTCGCTTTCAAAAACAACTAACCGGTTCTTACATAGAGTGATATGATTGTCGTAAATTATTTACATAGAGACAAGGTTTCCGAGAAGTTACCTGATGTGTCACTTTTGGTGCTATCCGATAGTTTTCTTAGAACTTTATCTTTAGCAGTGGCGTTGCGGGCAGCGTTCATTTCAGACTTTTTTTCCTCCGGGGGAGGGGGCAGTTAAAACTTTTGGGTAGGGGGGGAGGATAAGAGTACGACAAAATATCTGGGGTTAGGATTGCATTTCCGGTTGAATTGGGCTATAGAAATGATAGATAAGTTTGTGACAAAATCACTCGTTTAAAAAAAAAGACATAGAGGTAAAAAGTTCTTAGAATATACTGCTTTGTATACAATTATGAAGGTAAATAACCGGAAATTGCACTTCCGGTTACCGGAAATCGCTCAAAATTTACAAGAAACCTGCGTATACTTATTAATAAAATTAAAAGGGTACTCAAGGTGAGAGACACATATACAGACATACCAGACACACAGACATAACAAACGCTTACAGACATGATTGCAAGACAGGGCATTTTGTTTTTACTCAAGAAGGTGTATAGCATCTAGATTTTTTAAAACCTTGATTTATATATTTCGCACAATTACAATCCTTCTACTTATATTCCGCATACGAGAAAATAAAATGAACGATAAAAACACAACATTATTCATTATACACAAAAATGCATTTTTTAAATTGAGAAAAAATAAACAGCAACATTTTTATTCAGATTTATTTTCTGGGAAGCAATGAATTTTGATTTAATTATGGATGAAAATAAGTTGTAATTTATATACATAGAACAAAAAACTGTTATTTATAAAGAGGGTAACACAGTTAGTAATTTATAAACGAATAGCTATAAACTGTGAGGTCCTATGATCCTCTAACCGAATAGAAATGTTGGGCTCCATTGTCTGTAGTTGTAGTTGGTCGTTGGTGATCAGGATAAAAACACCTGTACGGAGAGTAGAGGGGTAAAGCTTGATTTTGTGTGATTTTGTTGACCAACCCACATAGCCTCCAATATAAACAACTTCAGATATTCGAAACTTAGACATTTATTTACATGATAATCACTCTGATGAAATAAAACGTTGCAAACGAAAACAAGAAGACCACATTTAAAAACATATTCATTAGGAGAATAAGCGGACATTCAAGGGTGAGACTGCCCGCCAGTCAACCGGAAAAAATTCCGATGGGTTCCCAAGTAAGAAATTCCGGTGGTCCCCCAGGGGAGAAATTCAGATGGTCCCCCAGGTAAGAAATTCCGGTGGGCCCCCAGGTAAGAAATTCCGGTGGGCCCCCAGGTGAGAAATTCCGGTGGTCCCCCAGGTGAAAAATTCAGATGGTCCCCCAAGTAAGAAATTCCGGTGGTCCCCCAGGTAAGAAATTCCTGTGGTACCCCAGGTAAGAAATTCCGGTGGGCCCCCAGGTAAGAAATTCCGATGGGCCCCCAGGTGAGAAATTCCGGTGGTCCCCCAGGTGAAAAATTCAGATGGTCCCCCAAGTAAGAAATTCCGGTGGTCCCCCAGGTAAGAAATTCCTGTGGTACCCCAGGTAAGAAATTCCGGTAGGCCCCCAGGTAAGAAATTCCGGTGGTCCCCCAAGAACGGTTTCTGTACTAGGCCTATTAATGCTTTGATTTTAAAAAAAAATAATTTGTTGCGTAAATTTCCATCTATATGACGATGATCACCGGGCTTCAAATGAGGGAGAAAAACTCACAACGAAATTTTTAATCTGGGGTTGTGGCCCCTTTTCAAAGTTCACCAGGCCTATTGTAACCAAACAGTCCAACCCCCCTGATCCCCCCCCCCCCCCTCCTGCATCCATCCCTCCTAATTTCGCAATTACAAAAAAAAATTCTATGCGGGTTTAAAATTAATCGACTTCAGATTCAATTACTTATATATATATATATATATATATATATATATATATATATATATATATATATATATATATATATTAGCAAAGTAACGATAATCGTTCACCTGTAACCTAATCGACAATAACCAAACATTTTAAAAGAATTTTCCAACTGAACGAAATTTAGGATTGCTTTGTACATAATCTAATAAACTACATAAATAACAAAGCAGAAAATGGTGTTCGGTACCTATCATGTTGCAGATTTTGTATTTCTTGGAGTCGTCGCGGTTGGTACCGCACCGGAAGGTGTTGTTGTAGCACGTCATGACGACGCGGCCATTTATGGTCAGACCAATATACTGTCGTCTGCTGACTGACAACTCGTTGTAGTCAACTAGACTTATCTGCCGGATGAGAGCCAGGTATCTTAGAGAGAGATATCCTAATGTGTAATATCTCAATGTTTGCACTCACTCGAGTAATTCACGCTTACTCGCACTTACACACACACACACACACACACACACACACACACACACACACACACACACACACACATATATATATATATATATATATATATATATATATATATATATATACACCCACACACTCTCTCACACAAATACATACTCACACACTTACACAAACACACGCAGAAAACACATACACTCACACATGCTCTTTCACACACTAATACATACACACGTACTCTTGCACACACACATAAGCCTACTTTTACACACACACACACACTCACGCAGTAACTCACACACACACACTCTCACACACTCATACATACACACATACTCTCTCTCACACACACACACTCACACACACACTCACAATCACGCACACACACACTCACACACTCATACATACACGCATACTCTCTCTCACACATACTCGCACACACACACATACTCTCTCTCACACATACTCGCACACACACACACCCACACTCTCTCTCTCTCACACACACTCACACACACACTCACTCACACCCTCTCTCACACACTCATACATACACGCATACTCTCTCTCTCTCACACACCCCCCCACACACACTCTCTCTCTCTCACACACACTTGCACACACACTCACACACTCACACAGTCACGCACTCACACAACCAAGTCTTACATTGACGCTAATGAGATACCGCCCCTCGACCTTGACACTGAACCTGTTGTTGTTGTCACCTTTCTGTGTCAACAAATCCCCTAACCCCTCGCGCGGGTTGTAGAAGGCGAGTGGCTCCCCTGAGGAAGAGATGCAGGTGTAAACAAAATACATTCAAGTACTGCTGTAATAGAAAGACTGGGCAAAACATGCAAGCGTAGTTCCTATAAAAATAAAAAAAAAACTCACTCCAATGTAGTATACTAAGCGACCGTCATTCGCTATGCCCGGATTGTGAAAGGAAAATATCACAGAGTTTCTCTTGACTATTGTTGTGACGGAAAGTCTTTGCGAAATCCTCACAGTAAAAATCACTTGTGAGACGGAGTGGTCTAGCGATAGAGAGCTGGACTGCTAACCCGTAAGTCTCGAGTTCGAATCAGGGTTCAAGTCAGTAGATCCGTCCCTGAGTCCACCAAACTCTGATGGGTACTTAACTCACGTTAGGGAAAGTAAAGGCTGCAGGGCATAGTGCTCACCACACTATCTCTTCATGTGCCGAGGTCACAGAAACAAGTGAACTCTACTTCACTTGCCCTATAGACCGTCAGGTTTGAAAGGGAACTTTACTTTAAACATCACAGAGTTCTATTCTATTTTAAGGGATGTCCATAAATGTGTGACGAGGGGGGCGGGAGGGTCCGTAATTTTGTGACGATGTCTGATGGTGAGTGTGGTTTAGATAGTGTGACGTTTGCGTACCTGACTCATGTTGTAGAATATATTGTGCCTTTTATATTCCAATTAACGAAACAAGAAAAAATCTAAATCAGCTGTTTTATTGACCATAGGATATGCTACTCATGACGATGAAAGGAAAATGAAAGGTTACGGTTACCTGCTTTTGTGTAATTTAGAAAGCAATCCTTTGATGCACTGACTCCCTCAGCTAACCTTGAATCTTTTTTTGGTCCCTCGATAATGCCTGAACCTGTTGTCGATGGGGGCAAAGGTCAAGCGTTATTGGAGTAGATAAAAAAAAACATTTAAAAATATAAACACTTTTTTATAAGGAAACTAATCAGTTAACAAAACGATTTTTAGAAAATGTTGAATGTAAGAGAAATAAAAGAAAAAAAAAAGAAAATTAGCTGACCAAACTGTGAATAATTGAACAAGCTGTAAAACCTGCCCTCGTATCTGGCGTATTGGGTGTGGGAAGTCTCCTGTTAATACAAGGAGTGCAAAAGTTAGATATTTACACACACTTTCGCGGAAACGTATTTTTAACGGATCCATACGTTCAAGCACACATACACACACGCACACTCAAATTAAATGTTTGTGTTATATTATATAAATATGTGTGTGTGTGTGTACGTGCCTGCGTGTATGTAGCTATATTTTAGCGATGAAAAAATAATATAAAAAGAAAAAGTAACCTACCAATGGACCTGAAAAGCAACAAAAGAAAAAAAAATTAGTTGTAGATTCCGTAAGATGAAATATGCATTTCGATATTTTTATTCTCTTTGAAAATCATACGTTTCTAAAATTCCAACGTTCTTTTCGCTCTTGTATTTGCAATTAGTTTTTTTCAATTTCAAAGCAAAATCGCTCCTGGTGGGTGGGGGTGAGGGGGTATAAGTTTATGTTGGACAGTGATAAAGAGGGGGAACTTTACTAAAGTTATATGCTGGTATGACAAAAATAAAAGTCTGGGCGCTCAATGATGGAAATTGAACGTAGGTCTTATGTTCAAGAAGGTAAACCTATCAAAGGACTCCCTATGAAAGGGAATCATTGGCCAAGTGCTAAGATTGGCCAAGACCCTACGGCCAATGCTAAGACCGTACGGCCAATGCTAAGACCGTACGGCCAATGCTAAGACCGTACGGCCAATGCTAAGACCGTACGGCCAATGCTAAGACCGTACGGCCAATGCTAAGACCGTACGGCCAATGCTAAGACCGTACGGCCAATGCTAAGACCGTACGGCCAATGCTAAGACCGTACGGCCAATGCTAAGACCGTACGGCCAATGCTAAGACACTACGTGTACCTGTCTTGTTCCTGTGATCACAATAGTTACTTAGAACAGCGTTGAGCTCACCACAGGTGCCAGTCGAGCTACGGGGCAGACGATGTACACGTGGTGAGTTCACTGCAGGTGAGTGGGTATCCACAGGTACCTGCAAGGTAAACAAACATTGTGGGGCAATGGCTGAAACATTTTTTTTTTAAAACTTGTATGCACAGTCGTGCGACCTCACCCTTATGATTATCACGTATATTTTGACTGGTATTTTACCCACCCCCTCCACCTTGTTACTTGTCCTCAAAAAAGTCCTACCCCCCACACACACAATCAGGGGTGGATTGGCTGTCTCCAGGGAGATTTAAAAATAGGACCCCAACGTAAGATTGAGATTTTCAATGTGTATTTTTATCTTAGAAAGCCTGAGTTTTACGTGGCGATATGAAGGAATGGTAAAATATCAACATATATATATATATATATATATATATATATATATATATATATATATATATATATATATATATATATATATATATATATATATATATATATATATATTTATATATATAATTATATATATATATATATATATAAATATATATATATATATATATATATATATATATATATATATATATATATATATATATATATATAATTATATATATATATATATATATATATATATATATATATATATATATATATATATATATATATATATATATATATATATATATATATATATAATACATATATATATATGTATATGTATATGGATATGGATATATATATATATATATATATATATATATATATATATATATATATATATATATATATATATATATATATATATATGTAACCAATGGAAGAAAATTGTAGTTGTGTTAGCGTTATGTTTGTGTTTTGTTGTTTTGGTTTTGTTTGTGTGGTTTGGGTGGGCAATGCCGGGTTTATGATGATTAATAAACACACAGGTAATGGTCTTTAACAGAAAGGTTTTTCACAGAAGCCAGAGCAGGGCCTGGCCGGGACGGCTAGTGTATATATATATATATATATATATATATATATATATATATATATATATATATATATATATATATATATATATATATATATATATATATATATATATATGTTATAATGATCATAACTATATACACAAACACTAAAAATACTACCTTGTGTTCTTACCTGACTTTGTAAACTATTATCCAACTTAATGATCCACCTTTCCAGGTTGTCAATGCGAGCTTGCTGATTCACTACAGTGACCACTAATCCAACTACCACCACACACAGTACCAGAACCAGGTTGACCAGCACCACAAGACGCATGGAGGCACCGGAAGCGGAAGTAAGAGGGTTTCTGGATGATGAGATTTCGCCACCAGCGTGAAACAAAAGACCGCCATTGTTTTTTTCGCTCGACTTCAACAATGGGACATAACTCTTCTTTTCATCCATTTTTCTTTAAAATAGATCCAATTTCTATAAATGTGTTCTCTTCTGAAATGGATATACTTTGTCTAGCTATTAAACACTTTTTTCCCACTTTCTAGTATTCTGTGTTTAAAAAATGTTTTTTGTTATTGTTTTGTATCAATATTCCAGCAGTCTATATTTCAAAGAAATATTTCAATATACTTTTAGGTATCCAAGCTCATTTGACATAGACTCTTTATGTAGATGTAATAAAAATGTTAAGGATATGAGTCAAATGATGTAAGTATATGTAAATGGTGACAGGACAAATGATCTCAGACAAAATATCCCAGACAAAATATCTCATGAACAAATGATCTCAGGACAAATGATCTCAGGACAAATGATATCAGGACAAATGATCCCACAGACAAAAGATACCATGGACAAATGATAATTTATCCTGAGATCTTTTGTCCGTGAGATATTTTGTCCTGAATATTTTGTCTGAGATCATTTGTCATGGAACCATGTAAATAGCTGTATGTATGAGTGATACTATTATGTGATAAGTATATTGTATGTATATGTAATACGCATATGTGATAAATATACTGTATCTATATGTGAAAATGGTGTCCGTATGTGTGATAACTAAACACTGCAGTAATATCTTACAGCCTACACAGTTAATCACATATTACTTGCTGACAATCACATATTTTTTGCTGACATATTAAAAGCCCGAAATCACAGACTATATGCGGGAAATCCAACATCAGTTGTGAATTAATTTTGCTTGTCAATTATTCAGGCGAATATTCCCGTGTTGCCGATGTACTCACAAAGTAAACAATCAGATAGAAATATTTGTCGTGTCTAGTGAATTAGTTCATTAGTTCTCAGACCAAAGACTCGGCAGCTGATGTGGCTTGACGAGCGAGGATTTACTGCAAGAAATGAGAATGGCCATGCCGCCCCTAAAAAAATAAAGAAATAGGATAAATTAATAAAAAAAAAACTACAAGTTAGATATAATACTTATATATGAAATTTCGTTAACATAACTGAAACGGTTCTCAAGTTATCGTGTTTACAGACAGACACACAGACACACACAGACACACACTCACTCACGCACGCAAGCAAGCACGCGCGCACACACACACACACACACACACGCACACACACACAGACATACAGACCAACAAACAAGATAGCATAATTAAATTTTTTCCCACTCAGGGAGATGTAAAAGGTCGAGATTTTAAATTTTTTTTTCTTTTGTTTGCACGATTGCAAGACTTCTTCTATGCTTCGTATACTAAAAAGTAAGACAGGTAAATAGCTAGTTGTTGGCGAACTTTAAGGTAAGCTGGTGTTTACGGATGTTGTTACACCACAGAACAGAGAGGGGTGCTACAATAGGGCAGATAAATTGTCGAAGTGGGTTAGTACATTGTATGCTTCTTAACATAACAGACCTAAAGCAAATAATTAAAGTAGTGCGGGGTGTAGCCCAAATTAAGATAAATAAATAAATAAATAAATAACTATATATATATATATATATATATATATATATATATATATATATATATATATATATATATATATATATATATATATATACATATATACATATATACATATATACATATATACATATATACATATATACATATATACATATATACATATATACATATATACATATATACATATATACATATATACATATATACACATATACACATATACATATATACATATATACATATATACATATATACATATATACATACATACACATATACATATATACATATATACATATATATATATATATATATACATATATACATATCTACATAGATACATATATACATAGATACATAGATACATAGATACATAGATACATAGATACATAGTTACATAGTTACATAGATACATAGATACATAGATACATATATACATATATACATATATACATATATACATATATACATATATACATATATACATATATACATATATACATATATACATATATACATATATACATATATACATATATACATATATACATAGATACATATATACATAGATACATATATACATAGATACATATATACATATACACATATACATATATACATAGATACATAGATACATAGATACATAGATACATAGATACATAGATACATAGATACATAGATACATAGATACATAGATACATAGATACATAGATACATAGATACATAGATACATATATACATATATACATATATACATATTTGCATACATATTTTTAAAAAGCCCAAATTAAGAACCTGAAAATGCAAATGTGTAATTAAATGGTGATTCAAGGGAATTTGTTTTCCATCGGCGTGGGATTGAGGGGGTTTGAGCTTTGGTAGAGCTGAAATAAATTTGGGATTAAAGAAAAAATATTATAAGTATAATAAACAGTCGTGATGTTGTGTTGAGTACGAGACACATCTTTCTTCCCTTTCAAACATCTGTATCTATAGCAGTCCACCAACAGGTTTTTTTTTAAAAATATAAATGTATTTTAAACATTTAAATTAGTGGTAATGCTTTTTTTTTTGTCGTTTCACAGTTTCAACTTTTTTTCTTTTTTGACTGATAATATTTGTTTATTCAATTGTAATTGTTGCTTTAGGGAAAATACAGTCTCAAATTCAAGTCATGTCCATCTTAGTGCTGCTTCTTCCTAAATGAGCATCCTTCTGTAAGCCTTGCTTTGCCTCCAGTTGGCTGGCATAAAACTGTGGAACATCCAACACACAAAACAACTGTTTGGGCATGAGAAAACACAGTTGTGATTTTGTAGCAGCCTGGACATCTAACATCCATAAAATAGCTGTTGGGACTCTGAACAAGCCTTTTAAGTTTGCATTTTCTCATTTCCTCTTCAAGAGAGGGATGTAACAGTTCCTTTGCTAAAGGCATGTTCACTCTTACTGTAGAGCGATTAGAAAACATAAATGGAAGAGAGTATAAATCTACAGTGCAAACTTCATTAACTTGAGCAGTGAATTAGGTTTTATCCATGTTTCTAAAAATATACGCTTTTACTATATCTTATAGTGAAGCAAATATGTTTGTTTTATATATTATTATTATCAGCATCGTATACACTAAATGAAATGTAATTTTCTCCCTTGTTCTGTTTTTTTAAATATTTGACAATACAAGAAATCTTTTTTTATTAAACATTTACCTTTATCTATTTCACAAAATGTGTAGTCTGCTTATGTCAAAGTTGCCTCCCTCTATTTATACTCGGAATAGCGTCCCTTAGCAATGAATCATAGAAAAAGTTCCTTCCTTTAGACTCACTTAATTATTTAATTATTCACCAGCAAAGAAAACAAAAACATCGCATTCTCGTGAAAAAAAAACCAAAGACATGACAAATGAACGGTTACTAACCTAAACAACTTCAAACTAACCTAAACCACTTCATATATCCTGTACTTTCGGAACTCGACTGACATATGAGAGCAACTTGTACAGAAACCGAAACCGAAAGTTGGAAAACTAAACTTAAAATCGGGTCATGCGTGATCGGAGGTCGTCGTTTTAAAATCCCAACGGGCGGAGCTACATGTGGGGTCGGTGTTTTTGTCTTATGTAAATTTATATGTACAAGGGGGGAGCTAGAGATGGGGGGGGGGGTGCTTTTGTCTATATACATTTATAGGAAAAGGGGCGGAGCTACATGTGGGGTCGGTGTTTTTGTCTAATGTAAATTTATATGTACAAGGGGGGAGCTACAGATGGGGGGGGGGGTGCTTTTGTCTATATACATTTATAGGAAAAGGGGCGGAGCTACATGTGGGGGTCGGTGTTTTTGTCTAATGTAAATTTATATGTACAAGGGGGGAGCTACAGATGGGGGGGGGGGTGCTTTTGTCTATATACATTTATAGGAAAAGGGGCGGAGCTACATGTGGGGTCGGTGTTTTTTTTTTTGTCTAATGTAAATTATAGGAAAAAAGGGTGGAGATAGCGATGTGGGTGCTTTGCCTCTGTAAATTTAATGGAAAAGGGGCGGAGCTAAGGATGAGGGTGCTTTTGTCTATGTACATTTATAGGAAAGGACGGAACTAAGGATGAGTGTGCATTTGTTTATGTAAATTTATAGGAAAAGGGGCGTATTTATGTATGAGGGTGCTTTGTCTATGTAAATTTATAGGAAAAGGGCGGAGTTTTAGGGCGGTGCTTTAGTCTGTGTACATCTATAGGAAAAAGGAGGATATGTTAGCCGATATTTGAAGACGCACTGAAAGTTTTTATGATACACTGCTGTACGTGAACACTCTTATGGGACATATACCAACTGAAACTTGTATTCAAATATTTTATGATGTTCCTATATATTATGGTTACATTACACGACATGGTCAGACATCAACGCTTACTATAGATAACCAGAAAGTCTCGAGTTCGGAACCCCGGATCGATCTCCCTGAGTCCACTCAGCTCTAAAGGGTACCTGGATCAAGTTAGGGAAATTAAAGTCGATTAGGCTTAGTTCTGACCACACTCTCACTTCAAACAAACGACGAGGTTACAGAAATAGGTGAACTCTACTTCATGGACCCCCAGGTCAGAAAGGGTAACTTTAGTTTCTTGTTAGATTATAACAAAATACTGAGAACATAACTACGGTACTGTCAAGCTAACATTCATTAGGATTAATGTCCTGGTTAATCAGCTGATCGATTACACACAAGCCAACTTCCGCTGGGATGTGTTGACAGGAGTTGACCTATTACACACTGTGTACAGGGGGACAGGGTTAGCGCAGGGTGTGTTGACAGGAGTTGACCTATTACACACTGTGTACAGGGGGACAGGGTTAGCGCAGGGTGTGTTGACAGGAGTTGATCCATTACACACTGTGTACAGGGGGACAGGGTTAGCGCAGGGTGTGTTGACAGGAGTTGATCCATTACACACTGTGTACAGGGGGACAGGGTTAGCGCAGGGTGTGTTGACAGGAGTTGACCCATTACACACTGTGTACAGGGGGACAGGGTTAGCGCAGGGTGTGTTGACAGGAGTTGATCCATTACACACTGTGTACAGGGGGACAGGGTTAGCGCAGGGTGTGTTGACAGGAGTTGATCCATTACACACTGTTTACAGGTTTGATAAATGGGACAGGGTTAGCGCTGGGTGTGTTGACAGGAGTTGATCCATTACACACTGCGTACAGGTTTGATAAATGGGACAGGGTTAGCGCAGGGTGTGTTGACAGGAGTTGATCCATTACACACTGCGTACAGGTTTGATAAATGGGACAGGGTTAGCGCAGGATGTGTTGACAGGAGTTGATCCATTACACATTGTGTACAGGGGGATAGGGTTAGCGCAGGGTGTGTTGACAGGAGTTGATCCATTACACACTGCGTACAGGTTTGAGAAATGGGACAGGGTTAGCGCAGGGTGTGTTGACAGGAGTTGATCCATTACACACTGTGTACAGGTTTGAGAAATGGGACAGGGTTAGCGCAGGGTGTGTTGACAGGAGTTGATCCATTACACATTGTGTACAGGGGGATAGGGTTAGCGCAGGGTGTGTTGACAGGAGTTGATCCATTACACATTGTGTACAGGGGGATAGGGTTAGCGCAGGGTGTGTTGACAGGAGTTGATCCATTACACACTGCGTACAGGTTTGAGAAATGGGACAGGGTTAGCGCAGGGTGTGTTGACAGGAGTTGACCTATTACACACTGCGTACAGGTATGATAAATGGGACAGGGTTAGCGCAGGGTGTGTTGACAGGAGTTGATCCATTACACGCTGCGTGCAGGTTTAAGAAATGGGACAGGGTTAGCGCAGGGTGTGTTCGTGTACCTTGGTCCTGGTTGGTGATCACGTGACACATGAACTCAGACGGCGGTGTAATCAGACTACAGCTAGAGAATCACAATGGCAGGATTGGGGGGGGGGGGGGGGGTAGCTATATCTGCCATAGTAGTGGGGGGGGGGGAGGGTAGCTAAACCTGCCATAGTAGTAGACAGAGTCTAGCTATACCTGACATAGTAGAAAGGGCTAGCTATACCTGCCATAGTAGCAGGGAGAGTCTAGCTATACCTGACATAGTAGTGGGGGGGGGGGGGGGGTTGCCATGGTAACAGGGTAAGTCTAGCTATACCTGCCATAGTAGAAGGGGAAGTCTAGCTATACCTGCCATAGTAGTGAGGGGGGGGGGGGGGGTTAGCTATACCTGCCGTAGTGGAGGGGGTAGCTATACCTTCCATAGTTGGGGGACTAGCTATACCTGCAATTTTAAAAGTAGCTACCTTAAACATAAGCTTTAGCTTCTTTTAGCTGCAGACTACCATAGTAGTGGGGGGGGGGGGGTAGCTATACCTGCCATACTAGAAGGGGCTAACTATACCTACCATAGTAGAAGATTGGCTTGCTATACATTTTGTCTGGGGGGGGGAAGCAATACCTGTTGTAGGTGAAGAGGCTGGCTATACCTGTCATAGTAGCAGGGGGGGGGGGCTAGTGATACCGACAATTTTAAAAGTAGCTACCTTAAACTTAAGCTTTAGCTACATGTAGCTGTAGACTAGCAAATTAGCCGCCTGTGTCAAAAGCTGGAGTTACCAGTAACTCAAGCAATACCTCCCTCCTACCGTCGCATTACTTACCAATATATGTTGCAGTGGCTACTTATCACTGTAGCATTAGCTACATCCAGCTGTAGCATTAACTCTATGTAACTAGCAACTGTAGTATTAGATAACTGCTACTGTAACAACTGCTGCCATAACTGAAGCAATACGCACCTGCTAACGTAGCATTTTGCTACCATTTTCGCTAGCATTAGATACTTATAACTGTAGCCTGTTGCATATTACCTGGAACTGTAACATTGTGTATTCGTACAAGCGATTGGAGCATTGGCTACCTCTTACTGTAGACTGTAGCATCAGCTACCTGGATTATCAATCTATGACTGTAGCAATAGCTACCTGTAAGTGTAGGCTACAAGTAAAGCAGGCTTAACATTACTTTATGTTAAATCTCATGCTGGTTTAAATTTTTAGCGACAACAAATGAAATCATGTCTTAGAAGAATTGTTAAAGATTTTTTTTTTTAAATGTGATCTCGCTTTCTCGCGAGAACAACGTTTAGAAAAAAAAAATACGACTTAATCCCCCCTCCCCTCCCCACCTCCACCACACATACACATCAGCTGTTGTGGATATCTTGAATAGTGTATGCAAATTTAGCAAAACAGGTTTTCCAGTCGAAGTGGTAAAAATGTTGATTGACTATTAGTTTCTAGCTAATTAATTTCTAAAGGATTAAGTAAACATTTTTTAAATGTTCGCTGTATGTTCGCTGTATTGAACAACACATGTATGGTAATTGAACAACACACTCAAGTGAACGCCAATCGTGTATTGTTTGTGCAACTAGTCACAGGTGTTTTGTTTTGTTATAGAACAGGTTTTGAATTTTAAAATTCACACACGTATTTTGGGTATTTAATTTACACTTGACGGAAGCTAGTTTGCTGACAAATCTCCTACGCCCAAGACTAAACCCAGATTAGGGACCTGGAACATCAGAACCCTATATGAAAGCAGAGGCACGGATAAAGGGAGCAGCCCAAAACCGAGTCCGATGGAGATGTGTGGTTGCAGCCCTTTGCTCCCCAGGGGTCACAAAGAAATGATGATGATGAGGCTTTTGTTGTTTTATTTCTTACACTTTGACTGTGAAGTGAAAGAAAATTAGTAAAATAAAATAAAAGAACAAAGAGGCATGTGCAGGAAAAACAAATTAAAGTACTCACCCACGCATAGGCTTTAACATAAAAAACTACTTAACTCTAATTAATAATAACTGCAACAGGCAAAAGCATTTTTCTTTGGTATATTTTGCACATTTTTGCCTTGGATTTAGCCCCTTAAATGGTGTCACCGGGTGCGGTCCGCACCCCCCGCCACCGCCTAGCGACGCCTCTGGGTTAATATCTAGTGAAGTCTCATTGCTGAAAATACTGGAACTCTGAGCACCTAGGGTTTAAGTGGTGCCTGGCTCTTGTGCATCAAGACTTGTGCCATTTCAAGATTCTTCTGCCGTGTATTATGTATTGCTAGCACACCAAACTTGTATTATGTATGGCTAACACACCAAACTTGTATTATGTATAGCTAGCAAGCCAAACTTGTATTATGTATGGCTAGCAAGCCAAACTTGTATTATGTATAGCTAGCAAGCCAAACTTGTATTATGTATAGCTAGCAAGCCAAACTTGTATTATGTATGGCTAGCAAGCCAAACTTGTAATATGTATAGCTAGCACCCCAAACTTGTATTATGTATAGCTAGCAAGCCAAACTTGTATTATGTATGGCTAGCACACCAAAATTGTACCATGTATGGCTAGCAAGCCAAACTTGTATTATGTATTGCTAGCACACCAAACTTGTATTATGTATGTCTAGCACACCGAAATTGTGTTATGTATGTCTAG